TTACTCTACATCAGAATCGTCATCAATAGGTCCCAAGGTAATGTATCATGGCTGTCTTAGAGCATTTCCTATAGGTGCAAGATGAATTTTTAGTATATTTTCTTCCCTTAGAAAATTAAATTGACAAATTTATGTCTATTCACTATAGACAAAACTATGATGCCAAATGGCCAATGAGCCTTGGCTCAAGTGGTTCATAGTGAAGCCTCCTAGACATAAGGTCAAGAATCCAAACCACATCCCCTTCTGATTTTTGTTTTTGTTTTGTTTGTTTTGAAATGAAGCTTCATATAAATCTAGATTAATGCTGTTTCATTTGATCAGCATCTATTTTACTGAATTGAATTTTCTTGTTGATACCTTAATGCATTGCTTTGTAATATACACTTCTACATGCTTGAACCAACAGCAAAATGAACCTCTGAAGCAATCTCAAGATCAATGCCTTCCTCAGTCATTAGCACCATCATCTTTGCTTGAGTCTTCAATAATTCCTACATCGAAAGAACTGAGGATATCTGCACCTGTTGCTGTGCATACTTCATCAGTTAGTACTGCTCCAATCGAGTCTGATGAACTAAATCAGAGAGGTCAGTCTAATCCTGGTATTCAAACATCAAATGGTGATCAGCCGGCTGCTGGAGCTGAAAGATCATCAGAAGATGGATATAACTGGCGAAAGTATGGGCAGAAACTTGTTAAAGGAAGTGAATTTCCACGAAGTTATTACAAATGTACATATCCAAACTGTGAAGTGAAAAAGATATTTGAGCGCTCTCCTGATGGACAAATAACAGAGATTGTATACAAGGGTTCACATGATCATCCTAAACCCCAACCCAGTCGTAGATTTACACCAGGTTCTCTTACATCAATTCAAGAAGATAAATTTGAAAAGGAATCATCTTTCAATGTGAAAGAAGGTAAGAGGAATTACTTTTAAGTATATTTTTCCCTTTTAGTATATGATATTGTTGCATGGATTCCTTGTCTTGTAATGTCAAAAAGCATTTAAATATTCTCAGTTAATTTTGTCTCTTACCTTGATCATTACTTGAAGGCAAGCTCAATTCCAATGATTTCAATGGATATCCCGGCTTATCACCTGGACGAGTAGATGATGATGGCCATGAAGGGGCAGCCTCACAGCTGCTAGTTACTAATGACGACACTGATGATGATGATCCATTTTCCAAAAGAAGGTAAGGCTTGTAATAAGGGATTAAGTGCATTAAGTGCCTATTTCCATAGTCGTATATAATGAATTACCTGAAATCTGAAGCAGGAAGTTAGATGGTTGTGTTGATATTACAGCAGTGGTTAAGCCAATCCGTGAACCACGCGTTGTTGTTCAAACTGTGAGTGAGGTTGATATATTGGATGATGGATATCGCTGGCGTAAATACGGGCAAAAAGTTGTCCGAGGGAATCCAAATCCCAGGTAAGACCAGTTATTTCAAGTTTATGGACAATTTATCTCAGTGGGGTAAATATTTCACTGCTGCTTCCTTTGTATTACATCATTGGTTTAAAGAGTGTGTGTATTCAATTAACAGTTGATTAAGACTACAGCTGAGTAGCTAATGTGTGGAGTTCTGGATCCTATGCAGTTTTTGTTACTCCCTATTGGGCCTGCAGAATTTATTTATTTTTATGATTCTCTTCATGCTATGAGTACCTTTATCGCATCATGTGATTTTTTACACGATGTAGGAGCTATTACAAGTGCACAAATGCAGGGTGTTCAGTCAGAAAACACGTTGAAAGGGCTTCTCATGATCCCAAAGCTGTAATAACGACCTATGAGGGAAAACACAATCATGATGTACCAACTGCCAGGACTAGTGCCAATCATGAAACAGGAGCAACACCTTTAAGTGGAGTGTCAAGGGTCAGGCCAGAAGAGAACGATGCAATCAGCCTTGATCTAGGCGTCGGAATTGGCTACGGTACTGAGCACAGGCCTAATGGCCAACTCCATTCACTCGCCCCAGAAACCCTCCAAGGTCAGGTTCATGTTTCAAGTTCTGGTATGATGACAGTTCAACCACCACCAATGGTGTGCTATGGAACTATACATGGCGGTATCAACCGATTCGGATCTACTAGGCAAAATATGGTTCAGGCCCCTGGCTTTGATACTCTGCCTCTCCAACCAGCCAACCAATGCCCACAGACCCTTGGCCGAGTACTTTTAGGCCCATAACCATAATTCTTGCTCAAAGCAAGCTTAAGCTGAAGGTGCAAAAATTAATACTGCTGCTAATATTATTTTCATATATTCTTTTTTGATGACTGGCAAAGGGCTGTTCTATAATCTAGGTATATAAATGCTGCACCATATTTCATGTAGTCTTGATGCTGTAAAATATCTCTCACCTGAGTGTTTTGTCACTTTTCTTTTCCTGTAATTATCTCTACTCTCCTGGATTTTTTTTTTCTTGTTATGAACAGAATATTCCAAGTGTAACATGATATGATACAGGAGCAATAGTGAAACTCATCATCTTGTCTACAAGACATGCCAATTTTCCTCCTTCCTATAGGCTTATAGGCAGGAGGTGCCTGTTATTTCAATGTAATTGGAAAATGATGCAAGATATTTACTTACATTCATACTATTATGTGGACCTTAGAATTATGTTTTATCACTCTAAAACTCTTTTTGGGGTGAATTAATTTAGAGTTAATTCCAACAATGGTCCTCCGACTATAGTGATTTTCCAAAATTAGTCCTCGACTTTTAATTTGGACACTTTAGGTCCCTTGATTTTCAATTTCTTTCCAATTGAGGTCCTTTCGTTAGAATACGGTTTATTAGACTTTAAATGAAGGGGTAAACTTGTCCTTTCACCTGCCTATGTATTATTCTTCGTATTTCTCCCTTCGTATTTCGTTGTTATACCTTGTAAGCATCTCAATAATAAAGGAACGCACACGCAAGTAGTCAGCAAATGGGGAACGACGAGGAATATTTTAGAGTTTCGACTAAGATTATCTTCATATATATCGCGTATACAATGGAGAAATACTAAGAATAATACATAGGCATGTGAAATGATGAGTTTACCCCTTCATTTAAAATTCAATTAACCATATTCTGACGAAAGGACCTCAATTGGAAAGAAATTAAAAGTCAAGGGACCTAAAGTGTCCAAATTAAAAGTCAAGGACTAATTTTGGAAAATCAATATAGTCGGAGGACCATTGCTGGAATTAACTCAATTAATTTATTCCTACTACTATAATTATTAGCCTTTATTTGGTGGGAACTGGGAAGGCAAATTATATTATGCACCGCGCGTCTTTTTTTTTTTTTTTAAATGAAAATAAACAGTGTTTGTTTCCGTTGTTTCGCACCCTTTTGCAAAAAGTAAGTTTGTTATTCAGTGTCATTTTGTATACACTGCAGTTTCAGTTCAACACAACTACAGTTTCATTTCGATATAACTATAGTTTCATTCGATATTTATAGACTCAAATATGTGAAAATGTTATTTAATTTTATTTTATATACACTATAGTTTCATTAAAACACAACTACATGATCATTTTGATATAATTACAGCTTCATTGTACAATATACACTCAAATATGTGAAATGTTATTCAGTTTCATTTTATATATACTGCAGTTTCATTTCACTATAACTACAGTATCATTTTGATATAACTGCAGTGTCGGTTTAGATATACTATAGTGTCAATTGGTGTTTAATACACTAAACAAGCGGATTCCGTTAACTCTAACGGCGGATTATTTCTTTACTTAAAGAAACGGCGCCGTTTTTTGACCGCGGTGCACATACACCGCGGTCTATAATATAACCACTGAACTGGGAAGATCTTAGTAATAGAGTTGTTATACTATGGATTAGGGTCTACCTTGGTCATAAATTGTGTATTTTTAGTATTGAAATTGTGAACATCTAGAATATAAATTGTGTTTAATAAGTTTTGAGAATTTGTGACAATATATGGTCATTACAATTTGTGAAATTTTAAAAGGTAAATTATAAACGTTTAATATGTAAATTATGCATATGCATATACCATATATATATATATATATATATATATTTATCTTCTTCTTCAATAATAATAATAATAATAATAATAATAATATATACGTTATATTACTTTTTTTTTGGGGTGGGGAAAGAGGCTAGGCCTCGGGATTATCTAATTCTGCGGGTGTGCGCTCCTCCAGCATCACTTGCCAGCAGGATACATTATATTACTTTGGAAGAAGAATATATATACATTATATATTGGAATTATATGTTAGTTATTTTCTAAAATATAAATATCGAATTTATAAAAATACTTTACATTATTATTATTATTATTATTATTATTATTATTTACAATAATTTAAATATCTAAAATCTAAATAAATTTAAAATTTTAATATAAAATATTAATATTGGGCACCTATTTTTTGCACATCTCGCATAAAAAAATACTAGTTATGAATATAAAGTTAAAAAATTATGATAATGGAGTTATGAATTGTGGTTATGAAGTTAAAAAATTATGAACATAGAGTTCAGTAATTATGAACATAGACTTCCTCCTGATGACAAACGTCATTAACGGCGAAAGAAAGCAATTTTTTTTTTTAAAAAAAATTGACACGGTGTCTTCACCAAGACGACGCCGTTTTGGGTGGACACAGTTTCACAGCATAATTTGCATAATGGAGGGGGATATGACAAATTATTTTACATATTGAATGTTCATAATTTTACATACTAAATATTCACAATTTACATGTCAAATATTCACAAATTTGAATTGTGAACATTTAATATGTAAATTATGTATTTCGTATTTTGGATTCGGGTTCACCTTACAAGGGAAATCTGGGTCCATGCTATAACGGTTGGAGGGGATATGGGTAGGTGTAAAAGGGTAACTCCGCGGCGTTGACGGCAGAAGACTCGAAGCCAGGTAGGCGCCGCGTCGTACAGTATCTAGCGAAGTAAATGAGACACTATAAATAAACCCCCAAATCCCAATGCCAATCACAAACCCCAATCCCTGATTCCCTTCCCTTGCTTCCTCTTCCTCCGCCCTCCGCTCCTATACCACCAATCTTTCTTTCTGCAAAAGTTACCACTTTTTGATTGGAACACACTGTAAGTATCGCTCTTTCAATTCTACTCTTTATTTTCATTCAAATTCAATCACACCAAAAATACCCTTTTTCAATTTTATAAATCAATGGGCTAACGGCAAACCAAACAAAATCTTTTCTTTTTCGGGTCTAATAATTCTAGACTCTTCAGTCTGCGCACGCTTTCTATTTAATTCTTGCATTTCTGATTGTAATATGTATTGGTGTGGTTTGTTCAATGTTGCTGTTGGCATTTGATTCTGAGCTCAATTCTCTCTTTTTTTGGGACCAATTTCATCTTCTTTAATTATTTCGACTTGAAAAAATAGATACTGGGGTGGAAATGTAGGGACTAATAGTTGAACATGGTGGAAAGAAGGAATGCGATAGCAAGTTGAATGTTTAAATGTTTGCCTTTTTTGCTTTTGTGGATATCCTAATTATTCTCTCACATAGAAACAATTATAGTTGATGGTTACAAAAAGGGGGAAATTCCTGATAGGCTTATATGCTTTTCATTGTTTCCGTTTAGATTTGATGCCGCTATTTCTTCACTTTTAGATCTACAAAACCATGACACTAAGCAATGTGTTAGTGTCTGATTAGATAAGTCGAATGAAATTTTCAATTGTTCATGTAACTTGTTGTTTCTCAATTTGCTATAGCTTGGTTTTATTAGAGTTTAGTTCATCATTTTATCACGTGATATTTGGTTTCCCCTTTTATATGCTGTCTTTTCATGTTGTGAACCTTCATGATTAAAGATTTCTTTATTGTTTATTTTCTCTCTTTGGGGTTTTAAGGAGCAGGGTTCAGGTATCAAGCATATATTAGGCTTATGGATTCTCTAATTGATCAATCTGGGAGAAGAGAAAAATTAAGCTTAAACTGGGAGGATGCGTTTCATTTGTATGAGCATTCAATTGCATGTGAGAATGAGGTTTTACGGGTTCAAGCCACAATTAAGCTTGCTCGGATGTCCAAACATGCACCCGAGACTATATTGGAGCGCTCAGTCCCTATCCTTGTAGAGTTGCTTACGAGCCCCATCTCTGATCTAAATCCTTCGATTCATGAAGCCTCTGCTTACTGCCTAAAATGTATTGCTTGTGAATATGAAGGTAGATTGGCCCTACTTATTGGTGAATCCGGTGCCGTTCCTTCTATATTGAGATTATTATCGCATTCTGGAGGGAGTTTGCAGAGAATGTTATTAAAATGCCTCAGGAATATTGTTACATTTGCTGAGCGTAACCGTATAATCGTGTTTAGAAGTGGCGGGCTGGAAATTGTTGTCAGTATGTTGAATGCCTGTCCCGATGGTATGAAAACGTACTTGTTGGAAATATTGAGTGCGTTGGCTCTTTCTAGAGAGGTAAGGAGACGGGCTATTTTCACTTCGGGTGGTGTGCGGTTTCTGATTGAATCTGCGGGGAGAGGAAGAATGATATCTAGGTGCCGGGCAGCTCAGGCAATTGGGTTACTCGGATTAGTAAAGAGCGCAAGGCCTACCCTCGTAGCCTCGGGTGCCATACAAGTGCTTCTGGAATTACTTCAGGTAGGAGACACCTCGACAAAATTGGTAGCGGGTAATGCCCTCGGTGTCATTTCATCCCATGTTGATTATATTAGGCCCGTAGCTCAAGCCGGGGCGATTCCTTTGTATGTCGAGCTTCTCCAGGGACCTGAACCCATGGGGAAGGAGATAGCGGAGGACGTGTTTTGCATCTTAGCGATTGTCGAAGAAAACGCCGTTGTAATCGCCGAACACTTGGTTAGAATCCTACGAGGAGATAACGGGGGAGCTAAAGCCGCTGCTGCTGACGTGTTGTGGGATCTCTCCGGGTACAAACATTTGCAACATATTCTTCGTAACTCAAACGCGATCCCCATTCTCGTGGAGCTTTTGCAAGATCAAAACGTCGATGTAAGGGAAAAGGTCTCCGGGGCCATTGCCCAGTTGAGTTATAACGAAGCGGATAGAGTTGCTCTCGCTGATTCGGGAGCAATTCCTCCTCTAATTAATATGCTGCAAGATGAATTGGAGGATTTGCGAGATAATGCTGCAGAAGCTCTCGTTAACTTCTCGGAGGATCCGTTACTGCGTGATAGAATATCGAGCGTCGTGGATAGTCCTGCATTCCACAGTATGCAGGATCGGTTGATGCAAATTCGCGCCTCGGATGCACACGTTGCTTCGTCTTTAAGGAATATTAGTATCGAGCACCTGACTGGTGACCCTTCTCTTCCCTGAACTTTGTTTACGGATTAGTATATACATATTCCCAGCATTAATATGAGAATCGAGCGCGCAAAATTCGCTTTCCTGTAACTCTGTAAGTGACATTCTCAACAACGAGAGAGTGAAATAAATACAAACGCCATTTTGTCTCTAACACAACGGACTCTGCATTGTGATTATGTTTTGCCAGGGCGGTTTCTATGTCCTACAAATAACCATTACAGATTGCAACGTGGTACAATTAATCACAAGAGCGGGCAGACAGAATACAACAATCAATCAAGGTACTTCCTATATTTGTCTTTTTTTTTTTTTTTTTCACCGGGCTTTCATTCTTTGAATCATGATACTATTCTGCACTTTCCACTGCATGAACAAGCTCCAAACTCGCATTTCCAACCTTCTTTCTTATTAAACTCGTCAATCCAGCTGCATCAACCGCCTCTCCTATCACCACTATTTGATTGCACTTCTCCTCTCCCAGTAGAGCCACCGAGGTAACACCTATATTCGAAACCAAACAAGGAATTCAACGTTTTATAGCATTATATCATTGTTCCCAAAATGTTAAATTCCCAACCCCAAGGGGCCCCCATGCCCCAGCCCGACAGAGCATCTGGGAGGATGTAAATCATGGTAACTCAGCTGAACACAGAGTGTTCAGAGGCTAGACCTTTGCTTACTGCGCACAAGGAGCCCTCCTCACTTTGAGAGGTTGCTCCCACACTGCCGCTGGTAAGACTCGATCCCGGGTCATTGTTTCCAAACTTTATCTCTGTGACCAACTGAGTTGTCCATGCGGGCAATAAACTGTTGTGCTCACACACATATGTACAATGTACCAGATGACTTGGCAGCAATCATCATAGCCTTGGATCGGCATTTCTGACATTTTAACTGAACTCTAATGACAATCCTTTGCTGCATCAAGAACACGAAATTTCATTAGTTTGCATACATTGCTTCTCGTTTATCTTTAGCCGGGAAACGAACTGACCTTCATGTTTTTTGGCTGTATAGAACGAAAGGAATATAGCAGATGAGGAGGAGAAGGTGGGTGTATATATATATATATATATATATATATATATATATATATATATATATATAGCAATGCCCCCAACATCTTGGCTCAAGAATCTGCCATGTTCCTCTTACACCGGTTTGAATCAAGCTTAGGCAAAAAATAACAATAAAACCCAAAAAAAAAATAGGGGAAAAGTAGAAGGAAACTTAAGATGAAGCCTGCATGTGAAGAGTTGAACGCCATGAGATATGAGCTTGCTTCTTCAGTGATGATGATGATGTTTAGACTTTTATGTTTATTATTATTATTATTATTATTATTTTTTTTTTTTATTTTTTATTTTATTTTTTTTTTATTTATTTTTTATTTTTTTTTATTTTTTTTTACATTTTGTAGTTGGCTATGTGCCTTTTGCTTCTTCTTCCGTTTACTTAGTTTTGTGAAGAACAGGCTGGACTTAGTATTGTAATTAATGCATAAATTCCCTTCTTTTACAATCCAGAACTGCCCAAGATGAGTTGGAATTGTTCTTAATGCATAAAATCCCTTTTCATTCCATGTGATTTCTTTATTATTAATTTTTTTTATTTTGCAAAAAAAAAAAAAAAAAAGAAGAATATAAGTATATAACGATTTTTTTTATTAGTATAGACTGATTTGATTAAAATTAAAGGGAAAATGACACTTTTTGTTTCTCCACTTTTTATTAGTATTAGTATTCACTTTATAAATTTTGAAGAATTCTAATTTTTCTTTTAAATCAGAATAATGAGATTTATAATTTGTAAAATTGTAGTTTATAAACTTATTATTTATCTAATAATCTTTTAACCTAGCATATAAATATCTCATGAAAGTGTAAATTATTTTGACCTGGTGAGCCGTTGAGGGAAATGTGGAAGCAATTTGAAAACTCATAAAATATTTTCAAAAAGTGATTTTCAAAAAGTGATTTCTAAACATTGACTCAATTTCAGAAAATATTTTCATTTGTTGGTGTTTGATTAAAAGTTAAGATTTTTTTTTTTTCTGGTTGGTCGGAAATTAGAAAACTACCATTTTCTATTTAGTTCATTTTTCAAAAAAAAAAAAAAAAAAAACCTAATGCAAAATTATTTGTAATAAAATACTAAAAAAAATAAAAAGATGCTTTAAAAAAAAATAAATGTTAATAAAATGAATATTTCAAAAGATTTACGAAGATATATTATTTACTTCTCTATGTTTTTAAAGTTTTATAGAACAAAACAATTGTTCATCTTTTAGTTCAATCCTTGTAATAAGTTGTTAGAGTCTGAACTAGGGTTTGTTATAGCAGAATTTAGTTCACTTCTCAGCTATGAAGACTGAACCTACTGGGTAGATTGTTCGACGTGTTGTTCAAGACAGTTGCAACCACTGAGAGTTTTACGGGATTCATCTATTTAAAGGCTATCTCATTCTCCTTGAAGATTGATCAAGAAATTTACAGAGATAGACGACTACGCATTGGGATTGATAAAAAGTTAAACGGATGACTTGATTACTTTATTGAGCTAACAAAAAATCAACATCAAGTAAATTTCTCCAAGCTCTTATTGATTACGGGTTGAACATCTCTTTGGAATAGACGGGAGTCATTCAAGTTGCAATTGAGGGGAACCTCAATTCTAAAGATTGGGATATCGCAAATCAATTCTTCATTGAAGCAATTCTTTAAGCTAGCTAAGTCTTTAGTGTTACTCTATTGAATCCTTCTTGTACTTCTCGCTGATTTGGAGAATCGCATTCTTGAAGTTAATGGATAATTGAGCAGTCTTTCCATGGGATGTCCCCCCAGATGTAGGAGTATGCGGCGTACTCCAAACTAGGTTACCAAACCTTGTGTCTTGTTTACTGTTTTTTGTTTGGTTGCCTTTAAGTGCATACTTTGTTAGTCAAACAGTTAAAGAACTAGATCTGAGGTTTATATGTTTGAGTGAGATAAATTCTTATTGAGTTTGTTATTATGTGGTTTAACTAATCCTTAGACCACTCATGTGTAATCAAACTCGGGACATATTGTCTTGAATTTCACTAAAAATTTGGGCTATGAATGCTCAATTTTTATTATTTTGCCTAATCCATCCAACACAAACAAACAAACAAAAGAAATTGAGAAAAAAACAAAAACTTAGATCTATTTGAAAACACTGAAAATGTTTTATGGAAAATGATTTCAGAAAAATAAATCATTTTCTAGAAAACATTTTCATTTTCTGATGTTTGGTTGAAAGTTAGTAAACGTTCTTTTTTAAGAACAAAAATTAGTTTTTTTTTTTTTTTTGGAATATGGGTTGGGCTAAAATTCTTGTTGCTTGGCCCGATCCAGTCCAATCAAATTTTTTTTTGAAACACGTGTTATCATGGTAGTATTTGTTTTATACTTTCTCAGTTTTTTTTTTTTTTTTCGATTTTAAGAATCAATATCTCCACCACCGGGATTCGATTCTGTGACCACCCATTCAGAATGGTAACATAGGTGTCATCACAATATATGTCTACATAGTAGTTGGTAGTCGAATCGATATTTTAATTGATCATTGATAAATGTAATAAGTTTAACCTAAATAAATTGAAAGAAAAAAATTAAATGGTTTTTAATAATTTGCATTATGGTTGGGTTGGATCAAGCATAATCAAGATAGACTCATATTTTAACTAGACTAGCCTAATCAATTTTAAATAATAACATGATAGATGGCAGATCACTTGCCCATTTGACACCACTCAAATGGAGAGAGAGAGAAAGAAAATTAAGTGTGAGATAAAAATACGAAAAGTGTCCATAAAAATCTCGTAAGACATTTGATTGGAATGAGTAATTTCTGTTGATTTGATTTTTTGTTGATAGCCAAACAATGAAAAATGACTTCCGAAAGTCATCTTCCCAGCTTTCAAACAGACCCTTAATTTTATTATTATTATTTTTTAAAAAAAGTTATGAGTTAGATCTAGGTCATCTAGCCCATATTTTATTGTTTGGCTTGACTTGACCTGAACGAGTAAATAATTTTTTTTTTTTTTTTAAAAAACAAAATTACTTTTTCAGATAACGCCATTTAATAATCATAGAGAGGAAGAGAGAGAGAGAGTCTAGTGTGAGTGATGGATCTAGAAAATTTCTTTCAAATAAAAATCTTAGAAGATATTTTTTGTCAAAATGAATCTTTTATTCTTTGACTAGAAGACTTGAATTAACTAAAGAAATTGAAAAAGAAAATACATAAACTTAATTTGAAAAAAAAAATGGGCTATTTTGTGTATATATAGTTTTGTTTGCCCCTCTTCTTGACACAAACGAAATAAAGAAATTGAGAAAAAAATAAATTAAAAAAACTAAACCTTTTTATTTTTATTTTTATTTTTAAAGGTGAGTTATGGACTGGGTTAATTTTTTTTAATTGTTCAATGTAGACCGCCTAAATTGAATTTTAATTAGGCTAACTTGATTTAACTCAAATAGTAACTGAACGCCTACTCATTTCACAATTATAGAAAGAGAAAGAGAGATTCAGAAAATGTTTTTTGAGTAAAAATTTTGAAAGATACTTTTTGTGAATCATACTCTAAAATTTTAACCAAATAATGTCATCTAATTAGAATAGAATGAAGTGATGTTGCTCTTTGCTCCATATTTCACTTTTTATTTATATGTGATAACAGTTAAGAAATCAACATCCTCAGAACATGTTGCTATACGTGGAATAATAAGAAATTTCGAGGTAATTTAACTAAATTTCTAACTTTAATTTCAGTGACAAAAAAAACTAATTAAATATCTTTGATTAAGACGGCGGACAACTAAATCTAGTTTGGTCTTTCGTTCAAACATTTGATAGCAGGTATGGTGTGACAGTCCTCAATTTTGTGTGTGAAAAATTCAATTTTGGTTCAAAAGTTGTAAAAGTGAAAAATACTAGGAAGAAGCTAAGAAATATATTCAGTTTTCTTCTTTAATTTCCAACTTTCTTTCTCAATAATTTGACTATATATGCTTAATTTTCTTATAAATTCCGTTGATTGTCGGCCAATGATGGCTTAGGCACATGGGTCATGGGGGGCAACTTAACCAAAAGGTCAAGAGATTTTTTGTACTTTTAAATTGCCTCGTCATTAATATTGTCATTTGCTCTTTTTCTATTAAATTGCCTTGTCATTATTATTATTTTTGTGTCATTTATTCTTTTTACGATAACATTGTCATATCATAATGTTACATCAACCAACCGATCATATCATTACATCATACAATATTGGCAGAAGAAGAAGAAGATCATACAATATGTTTAACTTTTAAATGTTATTTAGTACTACTTTTGTCTCATTTTATCGATCATATTTACTGTTTATTAATCAAACCAACTCTTTATTGTTTGTTTATTTTCTTTAGTAATTTTAAGAAAAAAATAACATTTTTCATCCTTGAGTTATATATTTATAGTGATTTTTTCCCCTGAATTATTCAAGTGGCAGTTTTTCTCTCCGATATGTTCAATGGACATATTTACCCTTAATAAAATAAATAACATGTACTTTTCTTTTCCAACAAATTATAACCACGATTTGGTTCAAACGGAACAAAAATTACAGCAACCAAACTAAAAGGTTCCGATTACAATTTAGAACCAGAACCCGATATTTATAGTTTATTAAAATTGCGAATTGGAACGGCCGGTTCATGTTCCGAACTGAAAAAATAAAATATATTAATTATTGAATTTAGACTATTTTAAAAATAAAAATAAAATTTTAAAAGAAAGTTTGAACTAGCCGTTTAAATTGGATAAGGAATAGTGAACCCGCGGTTCAAAATCAAAACTAAATCGCAGTCATATATACTTATATGTGAGAATCAGAATAAATGCGAAAAGGAACATACACTATTTGCCAATGATAACACTATAATTTATTTATTTTTTGTGTGTTTAATAATATTTTTAATGTAGTTTCTAAATATATAAAATTTATACATAATATTATTAAAAAATTAAATTAAAATAACTTCAGTCAAGCTTTGTTAATTAAATCAGACACATAAAATGAGACAAAGACTCAAAGAGAATATTAATTATAGATAATAAAAGTTTTAATAACCATTGCATTACACTAACTAGTAATTACACGGACTAAAGGTTATATATTTGTAACTTTGTTATATTAATATAAAAATTGTAATAGAGTTAATAGTATTAAAAAAATAAAAATAAAATAGTAATGTTTATAAAATTCATGTATAGAAGATATGTTACGTTATTTTTTTACGATTGATTGGTTATTGAATAGTTGCGATATTTTTTTGCTATATTTTGGAATGAAAAAAAAAAAGATGGTTGGACTGTTAGGTACATATATATCACTAATTATTATAAAAATTAAACTTTATTAATATTTGAAAAAAAATTAAAATTACAAATTATTAAAAACTTCATAGTAAACGATGTTGGTAGTTGAAGTTCATATCGTTTCACTTTCAGTACAGATCAATATCTTGAGACCGCTTGGATTGTTAACTCTCGATGCAGCAACATATAATTGACCATGTACAAAATTGATTTCTTCATAAGCAAACCAACATGAGATAGTGTTTAATTACTCTTCACTTTTATTGATGGTCATTGTATATAAAAGCATTAAGGAAAATTGTCTTCTTTAGAACTTGAATGACAATAATCTTGGAGCCAGGGCCGTCCCTGGCCATGTTTGGCCAGGGCAAGCGCACAGGGCCCCCAAATTTTGGGGGCACTTTTATTTAAAAAAAAATATATTAGTATATATTTATGGTTTATATATTAGATTATTAGTGTTGGTATAACTTATGTATACAAAAATTATGACGGTCTAAAATTCTACAAAATTTACATTTCTAATTCCTAAAGACTTGATTTATGTATAGAATTATAGTCCTATAACTTATAGGAATTAAGGCAAGTCTATTTGACTATTGTAAAATTATTATATATAAAGAGTAAAAAATTACTCATATTCCTATTATAATGCATATACACAAAATTTGTATTCACAATGGAGGAATTCGATCTCAGTAATCATTAATTTGAAGTGTGTTGTTTGTGCATTAACATCCTCAATTTTTTTATTCTTCATAATAAAAGGATGAAAGTATGTAAGTTAAATATTTTAATCCTTTAATTTTATTCAAAATTTTAAAATTTCTTATGTAAGTTATTCAATAACTAACCCTAGTTATGGATTTTTTTGATAGGTGAATAACAATCGAATTTCTTGTATTTTGATGCTACAATTGCAATATCAAATAGTCTTGACTATTTTCATTTATGTTGTTTATGATCAAGTATATTGTAAGAAAAACTTTGGTGAATGATTTTACATCTAAATATGCCAGAAGAAGAGGGAGAAGGTCACTTTTCAAGTGAAAATTTGAATAATAATTTTTTTTTATAGATTATTATATATTTGGTACAATATAATATATCTTCATTTGATTATAGTACGTATATTTCTGTTACTTAAAATAATATCAGTTAGCCATTCTATCCTTCTATTTTTTGTTTAGACTTTTCCTAATATAATTTTATTTTAACTTTTTAAGTAATCAATTTCAATACTAATATACAAATCTTATAATTTCAAAGAAATATACACCTTCAAATATTAGAATTGTTTATAATTTCATCATTAATTTTATTATTTAAATATATATAATAAAAAAATTTATCTGTGCATCGCACAAGTAATTTACTAGTTTACAATTATACAAAAAGGGGGCCATGTTAAATTTTTGCACAGGACCCCAATCTTCTTAGGAATGACCCTGCTTGGAGCTGACAGTGTCATAGCATAATCTTGGAGCAGACAATGTCATAGCAATCCGAGGAACCCGAGCACCCGCGTTGCTACCGGTCATTATCTTTGCTTGTACTACATTATCAGATAACTTGGTAATGACCAACCTAGTACCATTGCATAAACCCATCGAGTGACCTATATTCCTTAATTAACAATATTACAGGAGAACCAACATTTAATTAATGAATGATTAGGTTCACCGGATGCTCGCAAAAATCCATTTAGAAATTCAGGAGTGTACACATCTGCAGAGATACCATTGTTTGAATTAGACTTACAAAGAGTGTCGCAACTAAAATATGTCTTGCTCTCAGCTATATGCAAATTGCTCATATAATCATTTATGGAAGTAACAACATCAAGGGTTGGAGCTAGTATCGCGCGAGTTTCAAGGTAACTGTGATCACAATCACCATTCCTAAACATAGAAAATGTACTCTCAACAATTGTAGCTATCAGGTCATCCGTAGCTGGCACTAACATTTCTATAGGGATTAAACATCTGCATGATCATCATTTGGACCCCCAATTGTTCAATCTCCGATAGAAGCAATCTAGTTAGCAAATTCTTCAACTTGTTTGAGGTCAATACCAGACTCTATCCTATTTAAATGAAGATTCATTGTCAATCTAAGCACTTTGTAGCTATTCCAAAGGAAAGATGAATTTATAGTTACAGAGACAATATCTTGCCTTGTACCCTTGGGTATCACAAAAAATTCCAATATTTGCCTAAAGTCACCACAAAAAATAACGATTTTATCACCAAATGTTTTTTCAGCACTCAAAGGATTGAGAAATCTCATCAAATCTCTCATTGTCTGATCTAGTGCTTCAAAACAATATAATGCTTGTACATCATTGGTGTTTCATCCCATATGATTAACTTCGTTTTTACAATCAATTACGCGAGGTGAATGACTTCTTTGTTTAATGTTACATGTTACATGTCAAGTCTATTAAGGATATATGAGGCTCACATTTGTCATCTATGTTTTTGTTATATTTTAGCTCCTGTTGAATAATTGTATGATAGGTTAGTTGTTGTAACTTCCTTCTATCTTTCCTCATCTGTACACTATTTATAGCTGCCTAAGTTTGCAGTGGTTAATTCATTCAGTTCTATAAACCCTATAAAGTCTTCGTATAAAGAACTTGGTATCGCAAACCTAGAATGTGCAGTTCGTCCTCCAGGTAAAAGCAAAGATGCTATACCACTCGAAGCAACATTGATATCAATATAACATTTAGAACGCAATGTTGAAGATAAGGCCCTCCAAAGAAATGTTGTTTCGATCCCGCTGTAATAGTATGTATACATAAGGGAGTAGATAAAGTAGCATGATGACCTCCCTGTTGGGTTGGGATTCCCTCCTATGTGGAAAATAGTTCATGTTTGGACCAAACATTTTTGTATCCACTATATATTTTTATTGAGCCCTAATTATTATTATTAATATATAATAATAATAATAAGGGATTATGAAGGGTTGGAAACAAAGAGACTTTTGGCATCTTGTGACCTTTCATGTACTTCATTCCCTATAAAAATGCTTAGGGATTTTGGATGCAAGATGGCCACTAGACACACACACATATGTTGATTCGATAGAGAGGAAAGGTAGACGTGAGGCTAGGCAGTGAAATAAAACAAAGATTTCTTTTGCTTGTCTCTTTGTCTCCTTTGGTAGTTCGGCAGCAGCGTGTTCGGCGGGTTTCATCCTTTGTCGCATGCTTGTTGGTTTTGACGTGAAGTTTGCCGAAGATCTTTGGGGTACTTTCTTCATCAAATATTTGTAGAGGTCAGTTGTTTGTTCCAGGCATCGTTTTGGTCAATCTCGTACTACTTATATTCTTTTTATCTTGTACGTGGTAGTTGAATATTTTGAGTACATACGAGATATTATTCCTTTTTAGGCCTGTGAACGTGATAGAATGTATTTGGCCTAGAGTTGTTGTATTTGATGATTTGTAGGGTGTTTGGCTCGGGTGGTAGCCAGCAACTTTGTACCCAATATTTGTGATAGTGGAAACTTTTGTTGTGGTGGTCCCGTGGTTTTTCCCCGTAGTTTTGGGGTTTTCCACGTAAATCTTGTGTCCCTTGCATTGTTATTTATTTTGGCTATTGTGTTATCTCGTGTTTGTGGACCGTGTCGGGTTCTGTGATTTTCATTGTCACAGGAAGTTGGATTTTTCCCAAATACTCCCGTGCTCCTTTAATTTAACTATTGTTTTTGTATTCTTTAACTACTGTTTGGTGGTTGAATTTTAACATATACCGGTGGGTGCTCGTTTTGTAGGTATAAAGTTAGTAATGACCAAGAAATTCTTAACACCATATACTTCACATTCTATAAATCTGGACAGGTGCTTTGAAACATGCTCTTTGAGTATATGAGCATGTAGAAAAGCGCCCTGTAATTAAAGAAATAAAAATGCAAATTTACGTTGGTTGAAGTGCGACTTGAAGACAATGCATATGCATAAAAAGGGATTTTTTATCAACAATATGGTAGATGCAAATAGCTCTTGATCATGGAAGACGCACTCTTTGCACTTGATTGTAGAAGAACCTTTTCTTTCTAGGATTTCATATGTACGCACCACCCTAACTTTGATTGCACTTCTTGTTTTAAAAGGAGATATATCATGTCTAAGAATGTATATAGAAGCCATGAAAGTTCTAAGATGTATACTGTAAGTAGTATTCTGATGAGCTTTCGTTGTAATGTTTGTATTCGAACAGAATAGAAGTCTTATATAGCCATTAGTTTGCGTTGGCCATGTATCTATAAGAAAAGAACGGTACGCTTCTCCGGGATTTTAATGTGAAGTCCATATGTCGGATTAAATACTACAAATTTAAAGTCTATTAGAAAAACAATATACGATTTAATCAGTCGTAATCTTCTTTAGGTGTTTCCCACGTTATTTTGCAAAATTTAAAACTCTTTCTACGCACATGACTCTTAACGGTGTCGTTTAAATTGGGCGGGAACTTTTTTTTTTTTTAATTACTAAAAGCTTGTGCCTTTTCTTTTTTTTTTTTTTTTTAGTGGAGGATCATTGATTATTGCATTTCCAATAAGATGTGATGCTCGAGCGCTTTTGGGCAGCGAAGTCAATATCAAATCAAATTTGAACAAATAATAATTAGTAATCACTTTTGGACTTAATGGTCCTTATATTTGAATTAAATATTCAGCATTAGAATATTGATCATCTTTAGATCACATATATTCACCGTCCTTAGGTTACACAAAAAGTATTGAAAAAATTAGAAGGGAATAAGTAGTATAAAGACCAAAATTATTATTATTATTATTATTATTATTAAATAATTAAGTAAATTTGTGTCAAAACTATAATGCAATGCCGTTGTTAAATTATTTGGACACTTTAAATATAAACTTGTATCACTAGAACATGTTTAATAACTTCCAAAATTTAATTAATCATGCAACGTTAAGCTTCATAAGCTCACATCCAAAAAACTTCATAAAAATAAAAGTACACAACTTAATTAAATATAATAAAATATTAAGCTTTTTAAAATTCTTACATCCAAAAAAATCATACAAGAGTAATTTTGTCTCAAGAGTATCTTTTTCTTTTTCTTTTTTTTCTAAGTTAGAAAATAAAATGGTAATTTTTGTCATTGGTATCTTTTATTTTTCTTCTTTCCAAGCAATGCTGAATTGAAATACCCGCCGGGGGGGGGGGGGATGAACTTTTAATTCCGTAAAAACGCGGAATTGCAATTCCTTCATTCCAACTAAACAAAGGAATTTGCTTGACTTTGGAATTAAGTGAGAATTAGATGGGAGTGAAATTATAATTCGCTCCAACCAAACGGGTTGTAAGGGTAGAAAGGGAAGAGTAACATTTATAAGATAGATTTATTTTTTTTGTTTTTCTGTAAAAGGAAATTAAATAAGTAGTTAGGTAATTTTTCCATATTCCATAAATTTCAAGGAATCAAATTCCTACTTAAACATTTTCAAGTCAAAGAAAAGTCGAATATAAAAATAACTTTTTCAAATTTTAAATGTCAATCATAAAGTTTGAACTCTCTTGAGCAAAACTAAAAATGTAATTCTTTTTAACTTCTCTACATATATAGTCTTAATTAACTTGCCAAATTTATGATAATATAATTCTTTTTATCTAATTTTTTAAAAAATAATGTGGACTCTCTCTCCCTCTTCTTAGAAGGTTACGTTGAAGTTGAACTAATAAGTCTTATTTAGAATTATACACTAATGCCGTTAGACTATAAACTTTATGCATGGTACGTACTATATATGTTGAATCCAATATAAAATTCGCATAAAAAAGTTTATTTAATTTAAAGCAAAACTCATATAATTCCAACCAAACATTTTAGTTGATCTATGTATTACGGAGTACATATATGATTAAATAAATATTTGGAGCACAACAACGATGAGGTTGACCCCATCCTTGAAACACTGGGGTTCAAAGTGACATGGATAAACAAGTGCATATTTTTTTGATAATTATTTTGCGCGCTTAGGTATACTGCAAGCTTGTAAAGTACATAAAAGACTATCGCATGTGACAATCTTTTTATATTTTACTTTTTATTTTATTATTTTGTTGTATTGTGATGTGAAAGTTGGTTCATTTTTAAAAGTGAGAGTATTGCAAAAAGTTGGTCACTTTAAAAGTAAGAGTATTGCAGTGATGTAACCCGCTTTTGAAAGTGGAAGAATATTTAATAAATAATGAAATTGAAGCACAAAGAGTTAATACTACCCTCACCCCACTGAGGAACCCATGACCTCCCAGAGCATTTTGGGAGGATGTAAATCATGGTGACTCAACTGAACATGAACCATAGACCGGTGCTCACTGCCTCACTGCGCACAAGGAGCCCCCCTCACCCCCTCACTTTGAGAGGTTGCTCCCACATTGCTGCTAGTGAGACTCGATCCCTGGTTATTATTCCAAAGTTTCACCTCTATGACCAGTTGAGCTACCCATGCGGGCTGAGAGAACTACTTCATGCCACTAGATCACACGGTCATGGATATATATATATATATATATATATATATATATATATATATATATATATATATATATATATATTAAAATTATAAAGAAATAAAGACAATAGAAATATTCAACATATCATAAGCAAAGAATAAATTAAATGTAAAATTAGAAAGAATTTGAAAGCATAAGTATAAAATTTTATACATAATAATTCAAAAGATGTAGGAGTAAGTGTGATTAATGGATTTTGATAATGCTAAGATTATATTTTGCAGAACTAATAGTTCATTTTAAATTACCAATAAGTTATAAGTTCTATTTGGTGAAAAACTATAACTTTAAAATATGCTCTTATTTGAGCTTATTCTATGTATATGTACTATAAAACATAGTGTTTGAGTATTAAGCCATGAGCTTTTCATTATTTCTTTCATTATATCTCTATAAATTTTTTAAAAATAACACATAGTATCATTATTTAATTAAAAATCATCCCTCAATTTCTCTTCTCATTCTAAATTCTCTTACAACTACTACTTTATTAAGTAAACTACAAAAATATATTGCCACAATTATACTATTATTTTCCAATTAATTACAAAATAAATATATATAAATAATTTAATAAAATACAATATTTATTTTTAAAATATTTTCAAGAAATATAGTTTTTTTTCTTCAAATTATCATTGAATATATATAAATGTCTTTTTTTTTTTCATTTAACATTTATCATCTTTTTCAACGACTAATTTATTAAATATTTTTTACTTCATATAAACTAATTTAACAACTTTCAATTTCAAGCTACTAGATTTTTTTATTTTTTTTTTCAATTAGACATGCTAAACATTGTCTAAATTAAGTGTATTAAGAAGTTAGAATCTCCAATTAAATTGTAATTTTCTCTTTTAATTTGAAAAATTGTCAAAGGCAAAGTATGAAGACAAAAGAGTTCTTGTTAAACTCTCAGAAGATTATTTTTCGGATGAGACTTTTCAAAATTTTAAAAGACTTAACTGTTTAGAAAAGTCACTTAAAAATAAGATTACTCAATTTAGAAAAGTAAGCAAAATGGAGGACTTGTCTTGACAAAATACTTCTTAATTTTATTTATTTATTTTTTAACAAAAAAATTAGTTCTATAAGTAAAACACAATGGTTGATCTTTGTAAAGACAAGCAAAGCAGTGGAGTGCAAAGAGACTTGGTGATTGATCCTTACAACAAATGACTATGCTAAAAAGAGTCAAGTAATGAAAGGGATTTTTAATTTGTGGATGATCTTCGTAAAAGGATTACTACCACTTTGTATTTTGGTGTCAAAATTATATTAATAAATTTCTTCTTTGATAGTAAGGAGAAAAGTGATTAGCTAGGAGAATTACACTATCTATATATCTACCGAATCATTATAAAAAAAATTTTCTGATCTCTTTTTTACTTTTCACTATTCGGATTCGTCTACTCTTATATTTGCAATTCATCTCCTTACAAACCTTTCAAACTAAATCAAACCTATACTATGTTATTTTGTATTCAAATAAGGCATGTAAACTATAATTAAGAATTTTGTTGTGTACATTTTGTACCAAAAAATAATAATAATAATTTATGAAAGTCTTTCCTGGACTAACACTTTAATAAGTAAATATGTAGTAATAATTGTATATGTACTGCCTTTGGGGGCCTTGGTCTGGGGCTGGGGCTAACATAGTCGACACATTATATTACTCCCAACTAAAATTTAGAGGTTAAATGGTTTAAATTTTATTTATTTAGTCAACTAGCTTGTAACTTAATGACACTTCTGTGACTCTTGATGAAGACATTGACTCTTTGCGCTTCAATAAGTTGAGAGAGTATTTTTAAACATATACTACTATACATTGTAATTACTCAAAAAAAAAATCATTCGTCTAAGTTAATTAATAATGTATGTCTAATCGTGACGGTGGAAGAAAAAAAAAATGTTGAGTACGTGAAGACAAGGTATAAATTAAAAAATTTTGGACTCTCATGATTAGGTGATTTCGTAAAAGTAAACGATACGGTTCTTCCGAAGGTTTTTTTTTTTTTTTTTTTTTTTTTTTTTTCATAATTGAATTAAGAGAATTTCATTTATGGTTCTAAATTTGTAGATGGATGACCAAAAAATGATAATGTCATAATAACAAAATTATTGAAATGACGTTACATATAAGGACATTTTGATTTTTTTTTTTTTTACAAAAGTGAGTTGACCCACTATATATTTTCATTTTATTTTTTCCTTTGAAGACTAAAATACCCTTGTATTTAAAGGAATTTAAACGATTTTGTTGATAAAGGACAAAAAATGATCATGTCACGATAATTTTAACGCCAAAAGGGAATGTTCTGAAAAAAAAATAGAATAAAACATATAAATCTAGGACAAAAAAAAAAAAGAATTAACTACTGAATTAACCACATCATATTTATCATTTTAACAGCAATCATCTTTGTAAATCATGTGGATGGCTTGGAGTATTACATTAAAAACATTTATAAATCATTCAAAGTGTTGTAAGTACATATATTTATAATTATTTATTAATTTGAAAATAAGTGAGAAAATTACAAATAAATTTGTATGTATATAAATTTAGTTGGAGCATGTTCTTTTATATATATATATATGAGAACATATACACCCCAAGAGAAAACTAAGAATCAATTTCAATTCAGCCTTACATTTGTAAAAATAAGATAGGATCATATCTAATTTAAATAAAAACGCAACAACATTTTCATAATAATATTATCGTCAACTTCACTTTGTAAACTTGAACACTTAAATATGCAATAAATAAAAACTAAATATACAAACATGGATAAAATTTAAAAAATCAATGAAAAAAACTAAAATTTAAATTTAAATTATAAATGTTAGACTCTAAACAGTAAAAAGTGAACCACTCAAAAAAAAAAAAAAAAAAAAAAAAAAAAAAAAAAAAAAAAAAAAAAAAAAACTCATCCTAAACTCTAAAATCTAAACCTTAAGTGCAAGGCATTTGCTCAATTTTACAAGTGAAATCTTTTAATACTAAATGTGCAAAATGTTAATACTAATGTACAAACCTAGAAAATTTTTAAGAGTAGTGCATATTTTAGTGTTCAAGTTTTTAGTGATAAATACAAAATGTCACCCAGATGTAATGTTGAGATTGGTTATTATTTGCTAGTATGGGTAGCTCAGTTCGTCATAGGGGTAAAGTTTGAAAACAATGACTTGGGTTGGGTCGTGTGGGAGCAATCTCTCTGAAGGGACTCTTTGTGCGCAGTAAACAAATATTTAGCCTTTGTGCTTCGAATTCTGTGTTCATGTACTGAGTTACACCATGATTTACATCCTCTCTGATGCACTGTTGCGTCTAGACGTGGAGAACATTGGAATTGAGAACTTCTGGATACAACAAGATTGGACTTGATAGAAAATTAAAAGTTTCCAGTTTCCAGTTTCCACGTTGACTAATAAAAAAAAAAAAAAAGGAAAGAATATTGGGATGATGATGAGTTGAGGTTTTGGAGTGATAGCAAAAGTTGCTAATCGAGTAAATGTCGGTGTATTTTCCTGTAAATTTCTCCATCTATCCTTCCACACGCTCTTCTTCAGAAAATTCTCTCCAAATCCTAACTACTATTTCTCCAATTAATACTTTTTGTTTTCTTCCTCCTGATCGAATCACCATAATCTACACTTAAAAACATATATATAGTTTTTGTTTTTTTCTTTATAATTATTTATATATTCTAATTACGATACCAAACTCCTCCATCTTCCAGTATAAATATAATTATCATGCATGCATCCTTCTTAAACTGATTTACAGAAAGCCCAGGGAAGATTCAATTTGAATTTCTTGTTTGTTCAATTTGGAATAATATATATATATGCTTCAACTACCTGAGAATCTTCACTACTTCAATTCCTGTCTTCTTCTTCTTCAAAGATGAACAATTTAGATAATGACCAGATTCCTCTTTCCACCTTCGCACTTACTTCGAAACAACTAGAACAAATCCTAGAACAGCGAAACAATAATGGACTCCTTAGCCTCCGGCAATTACTTGATGGCTTACAGACCAGTATTGCATCCGGCATAGCCGGAGACGAGGCGGATATCCGCCGCCGGCGAGCAGCGTTTGGGACCAACAACGTTGTCGTCTCCGAACATCAACCGCCTAGTGGCTGCACCTTCCATGAACTTGTCTGGGAAGCGCTGAGAAACTCGACGTTTGTTCTCCTTGTTTGTTGCGCCGCGCTTTCTACTGCCATTGGGGTTCGGAGAAATGGGGCTAAACAAGGATTTCGCGACGGCGCTATGTTTTTCCTCGCCATATTTCTGTCCCTCCATTTCGGAGCGGTTTTTAAGGTTGTCAAGGCGAAGTGCGTGATTAAGAAGAGATGGTGGAAGCGGAGAAACGTGGGACTGGTTAAGGTGATTCGACACGGGGAGCAGCTTCAAATCCCCGCGTCCGAGGTAGTGGTCGGCGAGGTTGTTTGCTTGGAGCCCGGGGACGAAGTCCCCGCCGATGGGATTTTCATCAGAAAAAGCGGCGGCGGCAGTAAAACCGCCGTGTTTACAGGCGAAAATCCGGCGGAGGAGGGTTTGATGGTGGTTACGGCGGTGGGGAAGAACACGGAGAGGGAGAAGCTGTTGAGACAATCAAGAAAACACCAAAATCCACACTCAAAATGCTCCAAATTCGAGTGCGAAATCGAAAACATAAGCGTTGTCTTGCAGAGAACATGGCTATCCCTGTCTCTCCTCATGCTGGCAGTTCAAGCAGTGAGGTGCTTTGTAAAGAAATCATGGTGCGAACAGAACCCGAACCCTGGAAAGGGCGTGAAGAACACAGTGGAGGAGATGATGAACGAGACCACAAGAATCCTGGAGAAAATCGGCGGCGCCGGCGCCGGCAATAACTCCGGGCTGGTATCTAAGCTTTGCGTATTGCTTCTTGCATTGGGAGATGGATTACCTCTCGGCATTTTCATAACTCTCTCGTATGCGTCCAAGAAAATGAAGAAATATTACGGAGCCACAGCCTGTAAACTCCCCGCCTGTGCTACAATCGGCTCAGTCACCACAATCTGCGCCACCAAAACCGGCGATTTGGAGCTCCACCCCACATCCATGGCGGATTTATGGATAGGGTTCAAGAAAATCAAGAATCCCACGTCAGGAGAAGTCGAGAATTGCCTTCTTGACAGATTGCGCCAAGGGATTTTGAGGTGCAAGGACGAGGATGATGATTCTCTTGTTTTCTGGGCAGAAAACGTTGTTGGTCCCATGGATCTAATTGAAGAAGAAGAAGACTGGAAATCTCTACCTAGGACGATGAAGCTGGAGAGGAAGAAAGAGGGCAACATCCTGGTAATCCACTGGAAAGGAGACGCAAAGTTGATTCTATCAATGTGTTCTCACTATCATGGCGTGGATGGAGCCATGCAAGCTCTAGATGATCAACAAAAGACTCATTTCTTCAACCAAATACCCAAAACCTCTACCCTCCGGCTCGTGGCGTTTGCTTACAAACAACTAAAACTACAGCAAACTGAAGAAGAAGATGATGATGGTGGAGAGAATATCAATGAATTGATAATGGAGGAGGACAAAAATGGTGGACTGGTTTTGTTAGGTATTGTGGCGTTAAAGAACCCATATGGAGTTGAGCTGAGACATGCAATCGAATCGTGTCGAAAATCAGGCGTGAAATTGAAGCTAATGGTTGAAGATAACATCAAGACTTCAAGAATAATGGCTTCCCATTCTGGACTCAAAGGAGCTGTGGTTAAAGGGATTAATATGATTGATGAGAGTTGTGTGTTTGCAGATTCTTCTCCGGCGGACCAATTGCTTCTGATTCAGCGGCTGAGACAAAAGGGGGAGGTGGTGGCATCCACCGCCGGCGCCACTTCCGTCCGACACCTCCCGGCGTTACAAGAATCCGACGTTGGGATTTTCATGGGAGAAGAATCATTGAAATCCACGAAGAACCCAGATGCAGATATTACAATCAACGGCGTAAACTTTGGGAAAATCTTTGAAATATTAATGTTTGGAAGGCACATTTGCAGAAACCTTCAAACCTTCATAGAACTGCAGCTCACTCTCAACATCACTGCCTTCACTGTAACTTTCTTAGCCCAAATCATCTCCAATGACGATGAACCGCTGACGGCATTTCAGATTCTCTGGGTAAACCTCGTCATGGACACTCTGGGAGCCTTTTTCTTGGCGAAATCAACCTTGGAAAATCCGAATTTTCCCAGAATTCTTCAAGTGTTAAGTGTCGTAAACATGAACACCAAGATAAACGTGGCAATCCAATCTTTGTTTCAAGTCACCCTTCTCCTCACCCTTAATTTCCTCAACAAGCGCGATCTGATCTTCCATTGCTATGCGCTATTGCAAGTTTTTGTGTTAATAGCGAAGATTTTAACAACGGCGGCCGACACCGGCGGCAAAAGCTGCCGCAGGTTAACGTTGTTGGCATTTTCAGTACTGCTAATCTTTGTGTCTCTGCAGGTGGCGATGAGTGAGATCACGGCCGCCATTTTCCACTGCCAAAAGCTGGGGTTCAAGCAATGGGTGATTTGCGTTGGAATTTCGTTCTTATCTGTTCCCATAACATATGCAGCAAACTTGATTTCTGCCATCAAAATAATGGTTTAAACTATATCTGGACTACATTTCTGCAGTATTATTCTTGTTTATATATTCCTTAATGTACAGATCAGATCAGATAAGAAACTTGTAATAATCTCTCTGTCTAATCAACTATGTGTTTGTCTTTCTCTGTAAATTATGATGAAAATTAAGTAGCTGTTTCATGCATGAACTCCATAGTTGACATCTGATCTTCCTGGGCAACTTAAACACAAAATTAGTATTTCAGAGATACCAGAATCTCAGCCAAATTGGTCAGACAGTTGACTCCAGGTATAAAGAAATATAACTAATGAAGATATGTTAGACACTAGCAGATGCATGGATGGGAGAGAAGAAATGAGTAATAAACTTATGAGAAATTCCATAGCAATGGGTATATTATAGATGTATTAATTATATTTCCTTTGGCCCAGAATTTACAGAATCTTGTAATATATAATGGAATATTATGAAGTGTAAAGATCAAGCATGTTTACAAGTAAAAAAGACAAAAATCATTGCAGAATGTGGGGAGGTTGGAAAATTTTGCAGCTTAGTTTATTATTTAATTTCTGAAAATTATTCAATTCCCACTACAAATTAAGTTAATCACTTGGCTTAGTTTCTTTTAAATTTGTCACTTTCAATTGACTCATCAGAAAATGATCGAACTAAGAAAGTATATAGGTGAAATGAGTATTATGTGAGGATTAATGAATTCCTTTATTCTCTAGCTTTTACAATACTTTAGTGAAAATGACACATTTTGGAAAGGGTGAATATTTCGATTTTCGGTTAGAATATATATATATATATATATATATATATATATATATATATATATATATATATATGAGCTCGATTTCAACTCAAATTTGGTTCGGTTTGATTTGAGAACCCGATCATTCCCTTGTTCTCTTCCTCGATCACATAATTATTTATTTTTACTAATAATTTAAATTTCAAAATCTAAACAACAAATTAATAATGCATATTTCAAGTTTCTCAATCCGAAATAAGTTCAAACCGAACTGACCATTTCACCTACGTCTAACGTCCGACAACAACGTCGTAGACTTGACGACTTGCAGAGAAAAATTGAGAACAACAAAACAATAGTGAGAATAGTGTTTAGGGAATGAGGGATTTAGTATATATATATATATATATATATATATATATATATATATATATATATATATATATGGCTAATTTTGTAAATATAAAATATATAATCCTTTCAATATATATATATATATATATATATATATATATATATAATTATTTAATATATATATTTTTTTAAAGATCAATTTTTTGTTTGGATTGATTTTTAATTGAATCGAACCGAAACCGTTCAATTTGTAGACTATAGAACTGATTGATTTTTAATACTAAATTGAATTGATTCAGTCCAATTTGGTTTGGATCAGATAACTCAAATCATATCGAAATGCCTACCCGTACTTTTTGGTAATAAATTCATCTATCTTCTAGTTTTTACAATTCTAATTTTTTTTGGTCCAAAAAAAAAAAAAATTGTCACTTGAATCGTCCTATATACTCTAGTTTTTACGAAATATGTCACTTGTCTCACTTCACTAAGAAAAAATAGTTTTTTTTTTTTCTTTTTGTGTGTGTGTGGGTGTGTGTGTTGTGTTTATCAACTTATGGAAATTTCTTTTGTACTGCACAAATTTGTAGAATTGTTTATGTATTACATTGTTTGATGTATTAGACAAAAATAATTAAATTTATCTTTACTTTGAAAAATGTATTAAAAGGGTTTCAGAACGAGTTTGAGTACCCACGGATAGTGTTAAACTAGTATAAGACATGTATGGTTACAAGTTTAGAACTACTTTGGTAATTTTATAATTAATTGGATTCAAGTTTATAAAGCACTTAACAAGTGGTACGTTCTATTATTGCGTATAATTTGAGACTTAAATAGCAATTTTATCAATATTAAATAAATAGTAGATAAAAAAACAAAAAACAAAACAAAACAAAGTAGGAAACCAGTGGTTTTGAAACCATCGAGTCACCAAGGTTTGTTTTATATTGTGCCTTTATTAAAGAGTAAATACTCAAAATGGTCCATCGACTATAGCTAAATTCACAAATTGATCCTTGACTTTCAATTTTAACCAATTAAGTCCTTAACTTTGTAATTTTAACACGATTTGATCCTCCGTCTATTTGACCGTTTGTTGACTGTGATTTTTGAGGATATATATATGTAATTTCATGGTCCATCGTCGATTTTTTAAGGTACCGGTTGCATTTTCAGATCGCACTCTAGTTGAGTTCGTACCAGAGCGAAGAAGACGATGTGTTTCCGAAACGGTGCAACGTCATCCTGGAGGCATCCATGTGTTCCGACGAGAGCTGCAGGTTCTTCTGGAGATCGTCGATGACGGCGCAGCCGCTGGCGATGATGCAGAATCGCGGCGAATGATGCAGAATCGTTAAATTACATATATATCCTCAAAGATCACGGTCAACAAATTGCATTGTCAAATAAACGGAGGACCAAATTGTGTTAAAATTGTAAAGTTAAGAACTTAATTGGTTGAAATTGAAAATTGAGGACCAATTTAAAAATTTAACTATAATCGAGGGACCATTTTGGGTATTTACTTTTTATTAAATATTAACTGCTTATCACTCCATATCTTCTTTGAAGTTGATGATCTTCGTGTTGACGGCGCAGGTCGTAATAGAGTAATAATTATCTTGGCGGCTGATTTTTTTTTATATTTGTTTTTGGTAGATTTTGGTCTGGTGGACGATATGATGATTATTAAAGTCACTAATTACTTGTTCAACCAGCTTGATAGTCATTGTTTTTTTTTTTTTTTTTTTTTTTTTGATAGTCATTGTTTATTCTCTAATTATCTACTTTCTACTTCTTTAATCACTATTTTGTTTGGCATTTTTGGTAAAGAGCTGTCTCCCTCTATCTTTATTATAATGAATTGCATGATGACTTCTTTTATAAATAGACAAGCAAAATGTATATTTATAGTATCACATCGAGATCCATTGAATGTTTTTTTAAGCAATTCCAAAGATGAAGGCTAAGAATATCATACTACCGCGTGGAGAAAATTACAATTTCATTCCTACCTAATTTTAAAGGTAAGTTAATTCATTCATTTTGTTGAAGGAAATTGCAATTTCTCCATTTTCATAGATTTAGAATCTCATGTCCCCTTACTATTTCAACTCCATGATTTTTAGGAAGAAAAGAAAAAAATGATATCATTGAGACAAACTTATCCCTATTTTTTAAACATAAAATTGATGTCTGACTTTCCCTCTTATTCATATATAGCATGATGAACCTTTCTATGATGGTTTGTTGATGTAAGTGTTTAAAAAACTTAACATTTTATTATGTTTAATTAAATTGTGAACTTTTATTTTTATGAAGCTTAACATTTGACGAATTTTTTTCTAGAAAGGACATTTGACGAATTATTTGCATGAAAATTAATTACAGTTTATTTAATTCAAGAGATATTGTAGATGAGTAGTATTTGAATATGTTAATGGTGTTTGAATATGTAGATGCATGTGTCCAAGAGACACATGTCATTTAAGATTTATAATAATAATAATGGGCATTTTGAACCTTACTACTTATTTCTTTTCAATTCCTAGTAATTTTATTCTTGCAAACTAAACATTAAAATTTAAATTCTCACTTTACTCCCCATTATTCTTCTCCCCTTCCAACCAAACGCCTTGTTAATGTAAATACTAGGGGTTTGGATTTCAATTGAAATAGATCACTTAAGAGGCAAATTCTTCTTTGAGTGATGTAGGAAATCCGCAATAACTATCTAGGTAAATTATTGTATGGACCGTGGTCCACAAAGTTATGTGGACCACGGTCCAAAATAATGTCGTTAAATATTATGAGTAAGAGTAATGTACATTATGTGTTAGAATAATGTACATTATGTCTTAGAATGATGTACATTATGCGTTAAAATAATGCATATAATGTACATTGTGCTTTAGAATAATATACATTATGAGTTACAAAAATGTATGTTGCAACGGGTCATGTTAAAAAATATAAATTACGCAAAGTAACATCGTTTTTAGACCGTAGTCCACACATCCATACAGTAAACTCTGCTTCCCTTGGCTAGTAAACGACCGTTAGTTCAGACCAATGCCAATAGGTCGCTCCCGATAATATACACTAGGTAAACTTCGCCTTGTAACCTTAATCGACAAAGTACCAAAATCAGATAAATCAATCTAGATTACCACCTCAAACCAAGAAGCCAATTATAGAGGCAAATTTTGTAACTAGAACATGTGTAATTAGTAACGGAATTTACAGGGCGTTTGGTTGGATAGAGTTTAAATTCCCTTCCCACTTAATTCCAAAGGCCATAAAATTCCTTAGTTTGGTTGGAAGGAATTGCAATTCCATGGAATTACAATTCCCCCATTTTCATGGAATTAAAATTCCATGTCCCCCCGGTATTTCAATTCCTGGGATTTTAAGAAGAAAAAGAATTAGTGATGATACAAAATTATCCCTCCTTTTTTTTAAACCTAAAATTAATACCACAACAATAATTGGCATTTTGTACTTTATATTACTTATTCCCTTTCAATTCCCATGTATACCAAACATTGGAATTAAAATTCCCAGTAATTCTGTTCCCGTAAATCAAACACTGGAATTTAAATTCCCTTCATCTCCCATGAAATTGCTGGAATTGCAATTCTTTTCACACGTAATTCCCTCTTCCAACCAGTAATAATGAACTATTCATTGAGAAAATAATAATATCATTTTTATCCCTTTCATATTTTTTACCCTACATGTCGTATGCATGTTTGATTTATCTAAAATACATTTATCATAGTTTTTTATTTTCTTCTTTTTGGTTCCCATATGAAACGTTGAAGGGTCAAAATATGAACAATTAGAATACGAAGTTATTAAGTTGTATTTAACAAAAAACAAACAAAAAAAAAAAAAAAAAAAAAAAAAAAAAAAAAAAAACATCAATGCCCCACAGTTCATTAATATATTCTTAAAATATACTAAACTAAGTTTAAGAAATTATGTTCTTTAATTTTGTGATGGCCATTCATCATTATAATAAGGAGAGCTCTTAATAAAGAAGGCACTTCTTGCAAAAACTCCACAAAAGGACAATGGTGATCTTAGGGATAATAAAGAGTAGTCCAGCAAAAACAAAAAACCTCAATGCCAATACACAAGTATAATAAACAGATATAAGTTTCAATTGCCAGAAAACAAAAAGCCAAAAGCTTCAATTATATGGTTCAACAAATTAATTGCAAAAAGTAATTTTTCTTAAAATTTAAGAGCTTAGAAGTTAGAACAAATGGCGAACGCCCATCATTTTCCTCCATTTTCAATAAGGCGATGTAACTAAAGTAATACTGTAATTAAATGGAAGAGGAGATTGGGATCAGACTGACGTGCAAAAATAACTCAGCAAAGCACAGATTTCTGAGCCTCTGATACAGAATAAATTTTCTCATCATTTCCCAACTCCAATATCCAGATTCATTGAAATGGAAGAAAACAAAATTAAAATCAACCCACAAAACAAATGGAAGATTCCCCACACCTTAGAGAACCAGAACAACTAAAAACATCCCAATTTCTCTTTGCATCTTATGCGTCTTTATAGGAGTTGAAGATTGAAACCCTAGTGTACTCTCCGTTGAAAGACTGCGGCTTTGCAGGCGATAAGGAGAAGATTTAGGGTTATTAGAGACCCGAAACCCTAAAAGATTGTGGGGGCCAAATGCCCAATTTTTTTTATGGGCTCTGCAAAAGATTGGATATAAGCCCAATACTAAAATTGTTCTCAATGGACTTAATTAAATAGTTTTTTTTTTTTTTTACAGTTATATAATTTGTTCAGACGTTATGCCATGGAACCGTGTTCACCATTCATGGTGAACACGATTCCAACGGTGTTAGTACACCGTTATTTTTTTTTTTCTTAATTAATTGCGTGACTTTTCTTCTTTATTTTTACATTTTGCGGTTTCACTTTAATTTGAGGTGAACAAAGATTTCGAACATTCATAAATTATGAATTCATGCCTGCACATTCACTTTAGAACCATGCCTACACATTCCCGTCCGAAATCACGGACATTCATAAATTATGAATCCATGCCTGCACATTCACTTTGAAACCATGCCTACACATTCACTTTGGAACCATGAGATTATGAATTTTCTGTTATAAGATTATGAATTTTCTGTTATGAGATTATGAATTTTCAGTTATGAGATTATAAATTTTCTGTTATGCGATTATGAATTTTCTGTTATGAGATTATGAATTTTCATTACATTCATAAATTATGAATTCATGCCTGCACATTCACTTTGGAACCATGCCTACATATTCCCGTCCGAAATCACGGACATTCATAAATTATGAATCCATGCCTGCACATTCACTTTCGAACCATGCCTACACATTCACTTTGGAACCATGAGATTATGAATTTTCTGTTATAAGATTATGAATTTTCTGTTATAAGATTATGAATTTTCTGTTATGAGATTATGAATTTTCAGTTGTGAGATTATGAATTTTCTGTTATGAGATTATGAATTTTCATAAAATTTATAATCTCATAACAGAAAATTCATAATTTGATCAAACGCGCGCCGTTAACTCCACATCCGCGATTTTTTTTTTTTGCCTAAAAGCGACGTCGTTTTGCCTTGTGTTCACCATTCTTGGTGAACACGATTCTATGGCATAATTTGCGTAATTTGTTAATTGCATATACATAATTTGTCATTTCGGACCAAGGTCCACAATACAATATGGATCCTATCTAAGCTATAATATGTCAATCTTTATACCGTGGATCATTATTTTTATTTAATTTTGACAGCAACTATTTGGTTGTTCAATTCATATTACATGTTTTTTTTTTTTTTACTTAATGCATGTGTACGTGTCTTGTATTGTGAGTTTTTTTTTATCTTGTGTTATAGAATTATGTACCTTAAAGACTATTAATTTTGTACTTAAAATGGATTAGTAGTTATGTAACACAAAACATATTGTGTGACTTATGTTATGAATTTAATGTCTTGTGTTATAAAATTTTGTTTCTGTAAAACATAAATGTCGTGTTTGGTAAAATGGTTGTTAGCTATTAGTTGATTGTGTTAATTATAGGGTATAAATAGTTGGTAACATTAGCTGATTGTAGAAAAATGTTTAGTAAATTAGTTGTTAGTTGATAGCTGTTTGGTATAATTTTTTTCTCAAAAAGCTAATTGAAAAAGTTGTTTGGAGTAGTTTTTTGAATTTTAGTCTTTTGGAGTTGCAAAAAGCTAATTAACCAAATATTTATATTGATATTTTAACTAAATCAAACAATTAATAGTGGTCAAATAAGTCAAAATTAACATATAGGCCAATTTTTTACCAAACAGAGCCAAATTCTTTACCTAAATCAAATTTTAAAATAGGAAAATAGTACATGTCTTGTATTGTGAGTTTTTTTGTCTTGTGTTACTAAAATAGATGAGTAACTGTGTATAGAAAAAACTACATAATTCATTAAAATTTAAAAATCAAAATAATGTCTTTTTGATCTAGGAATCCACAATACTATATGAGTCATGATTTACAATATAAATTATCATAATTTGTGCATTACCTAAAAATATACACCGAGTAAACATACTCGTGTATAATAATTCATAAATCATACAAATAAATATTTAAAATTTTCTCATTTGTAGTAACTCCCCAATCAATTTGCCCATGTTTAGTGTTAATGAGGGTTGGGGTTCAGCTTTTTGGAAGAATGTTTAGTGTTAATGAGAGTTGGGCAGCGTGATATTTGTGTGGATTTAAAAAATAATAATAATAATAAGTCAGATGAATACACATGAAACCTCCAAAAATATAGGAATAATTTATATAAATAATGAACCTTCAGAAACATCCCAAAACATCCTTAAAAACAGTCCGACTCTTGTATACTTTGTAGAGTGGAAAGTTCTCTGGAACATATACAACTCTGTTTGCAATGGCAATAACTATAATCTCAGTGTTTTCAAAAAAAAAAAAAAAAAAAAAAAAAAAAAACTATAATCTCAGCCATTGCTCTCCCTCTATAAAGGCTGTATCCATATATTGCCTTGCTTCTGTATCACTCAAGTTCTTCATCCATGGCACCCTCCCATCTCTATTTGCTCCTGGACCTCTGTTCTGGTATTCTGCAAATATAGAGTTCCTAAAAACAACAAATTAAGAAATTATTACTTAGGCTGTGTTAAAAGTTATAACCAGTAAGACAAAACGAAGTAAATAACCAAGTACACAACTTTATTTTCTTATACAACCACATTTTCGAGAGACTAGTGTAGACCTCCATTCAACAATCCCTTAAAGCCACCAGTTGTTGGACTCGGCCCCTTTACGGCCTCCGCCCAACATTCCCAGAACCAATAGGCCCAATTTTATTTTATTTTATACAGTCACATTTTCGAGATGCATGGTACTGAAGTTTTGTTACCTCTGTCGCGAGGGTACGTTCCAGTCTCCCCATCCACAAGGCAGAATGACTGGATCAATGTCACACTTGGCATAAACCACTCGAGAAAACTCCCCCCAGGCTCTCCCCAGGAGAGTCCTCCCATTTCCAGTGATTTTGCAGTTCACAAATGAGTAGCCTGTGTTCTCACTTGCTGAGTTCCTGTGCTGGGCTGCAATGGCTCCTGACCCCACTGAATTGATAACACAATCCTGTTTCAAAACCCCACATTACTATCAAAACTTCCCTTAATCATCTCAAGAAATTAATTAAGTTACATATGTTGAACCTGATAAAGTGATCTGGCGTTTCCACAGATGAAATCAATCATCCCTTCAATGTAACACTGGTAAAAGTAATGCAGCCCGATATCGTCCAGAAGTGTATCTTGTGATCCCAAGAACCTGCATTTATACAACACTGCTCTATCCCCATTTATGTTCATCGCAACCGCCTGCATCCCTTCCCCTCCAGGCACTGCAACCACTGTATTCTGTAACAATTCAACTATCAGTTTAAACTTTATTACTTTTAGCTGAGACAGAACTCATGGTACGTTGTACCTCGACTGTGATCCCGGTTGCACAGAAGTAACTAGCATATACTTGGACAGTGGCTGTTCTTGAAGTCCCTAACTCCGTCCCATTTCCAGCCCTGTCGGAGGCCTTGTCGTGCCATGATATAATGGTTTTGGAGGGGTCATCTGCGTCTCCGATGAAGGAGATGTATGGTTTTGAAGCAGGAACATGCACTTTTTCTCTGCATTTTATTTCAACATTCAAACAAAGAACTGACATAGTAGAAAACTGCAAAGAAAGAGGGTGTGGGGTTAAGTAGTTAAGTGTTAACCACCCACTTCTAGCTTACAAAACCAAGAAAACACAGTTTTTTTCTCGAGACTCCACTGGTTCAAATTAAGAAAACTAATAAGCTGCACAACCATTACTCGAGTACTAGGTAAACCCTGCCTGTTGATTCAAACTGAGAAGACTAATAACCTTAAACTTGTAACCAACCAGACCAACTTGGCTGGGTTGCCCCGAACACAGGAAAACATACACACATTTGGAGCATTTAAGGTTCCAAATGATCAGACAGACACTACCTGTAAATCCCAGGAAGAATGCAAATCTTGATTCTCTCAGAGTTATGTTCCGGCACCATATCAACCGCACCCTGAACTGTGGTGACATCCCCTTTCCCATTCTGATCAACCACTATAACCTTACTCCCATTCCCATATTCCCTCACCACCTCCAAATCCAAACCCAGTTTCAGATCATCCCAGGTGATGAACCTCTCCCCCTCGGGAACCGAATTCAAACGCCTCCCCTCTCCCAGAACCACCAAGCAGAAACCCACAAGAACCACACCGTAGCAGCAGCAGCAACTCATCTCCAGAAAAAGAAGAAGCAAGAAGCAAGTGAAGGCAATAAATGCAGGAGCGTGGGGTGATCTTGAAGTCTCAGTACAGTAGTGCAGTTTATATTGAGGATCAAAACATGGGATTTTAAGAATTGCATGTTAAGAAGGGGAAGGGCCAAGTGTTCAGTGTAACTGCAGCGATTCATGGTATATAAGTAGGAGTAAATGCAAGAGGCTTTTAATGTTTTCGTTGGTTTCTTGATTTATTACAGCACAGATACAAAGATTCATGTGGGTTGAGGTTTGATCAGTGGGATTAAGTGCATGGTTAAATTAACAAAAAGGGTTGTTTAGCTTCTGAGGATATTAACAATGAAGATGAGCAAAGGAATTAAGGGGTTTGAATAGTGGTGCAGATTCTTGGAATGGGGGAGGTTTTGTTGAAGAGTAGTTATGAAACTCCAAGAGTTTTTGCACTCTCTCTCTCTCTCAAATATATGCAAATAAAGCTGAAAGGGTTTTGTTTATTAATTAATGGAATGAAATGGCAAGAATTTAGGGTCACAACTCATCACATGCTTAATGCCTTGTTCATAACCGCCGTCATTTCAAATTGAAAGAATATAGAGGGCTCACATTCCAATTCAATAACTAAGGACTTAAAGGATTTGAACAATTTGAATTTTTAGTATTGTTTAATGTTTTTAAGTATTTTGTACTAGTGTTTGAGATGATTGGATAGATGTTAGGTTAATTAGATATTTAAATATATATAAATTTATAGTGAAGCACTTTGTACTAAACAACTAAGTTGATATCTCTATGGCTCTTCTTGAAGGAATAGAGTCGATAGTGCTATGTGTATGTATATATATATATATATATATATATATATATATATATATATAATTTGGTTCAAATGCTGTTGGCGCATCCAGGTGTGGTTATGCAGTTAAATCTGAGCCATTGATCTTGCTTAAATTAACTTTCAGGATTACAACAAAAAAATGCAATGGCAATTTGGTAATTTTTACATCTAGGCAGTGTTGCAAAAATCAGTCTAGGCGCCCCTAGACCGTCCCGATTTCCCCCCTAGGCGTCCGCCTAGCGCCTAATTCGGCCGACTTGGCCGTCTAGCGTCTAACTTAGCCGAGTTAACTTGTCCATTTCGGTCGAGTTAACTCGATCAGCTATATATATATATATATATATATATATATTGTGTGTGTACACATATATATAATATGACATATATACACCTGTAGACTAGTTTGATACTTTGAATATTTGGATGATTGAGGTATTTGAGTATTTTTAATTTTTAATATTGTTTTGATGTTATGACTTATGAATTATCATTATTTCATTTATTTAGATGTGTTATTTGATTGAATGTTGAAAACAGCCTAATTAAAATTGTCAAACTGCAAGTCTGCCACTGTTTTTTTGGCACCCGCCTAGCGCCGCTTAGGCGCTAGGCGCTGCCCAGGCGCCCGACTAGCGCCTACTGCAACCATGCATCTAGGTCAAATTTAATGTGCATGATTTTTCTTCTTAAGATGCGTGGTTTTTGTGCTTAAGGTGAGTGAGTTTTGTGCTTAAGGTGCGTGTGTTGTGTGCTTAATGTGAGTATTTGTTGAAACTTAAGGTGCATGGTGTTTGTGCTTAAGGTGTGTGGGTTTTGTGCTTAATGTGAGTAGTTGTTGAAACTTAAGGTGCGTGATTTTCCTTCTTAAGGTCCGTGATTTATATGCTTAAGGTGCATCAGTTGTGTGAAACTTAAGGTGAGTCATTTAAAAACCTTAGGTGTGTGGTTTGTGTTCTGAAATGTGCTTTGTTGTGTGCTTAAGGTGCGTGGTTTGTGTACTTAAGGTGCGTGATTTGTGTTCTTAATGTGCTTTGTTTGTGGGCTTAAGATGCGTGATTTGTGTACTTAAGGTGCGGCATTTTAATGTTTAAGGTGCGTCAATCGCACAATTGCACGGAAAGTCTATACCCACACCTGAACCCTACTATATATATATATATATATATCGAAATGATCATGTAGTTGTGTTTTAATGAAACTATAGTGTATATAAAATAAAATTAAATAAAATTTTTACATATTTGAGTGTATAAATATTGAATGAAACTGTAGTTATATCGAAATGAAATTGTAGTTGTGTTGAACTGAAACTGCAGTGTATACAAAATAAAACTGAAGAACAGAGTTATTTTTTGCGGAACAGCGCGAAACGGATTCCGTTTATTTTCATTAAACAAAACGACGTCGTTTTGATGAGCGGTGCATAATCGATTATGCACCACGGTGCACGATATAATTTGCCGTAAATTGATCAGTAGACCCGGACCTGGGTCCACTGAACAATTTACGTGAAAGAAGATATTGGGCTTATATAGTGGTTTTTTCTGTTACAAATTATATTGATCCATCCAAAATTCCAGGCCCATTCTGTATTTTCCAAAAAATATTTAGGCAATATTTGAAGTTCAATAAAAAAATAAAATTTAAACATTTATTTGTAAGGATAAACCTACAGGCGACTGTGAAGAGCGGAAGGAGAGTTCCCAAGACCTTTGTGCAGAGCGATAATGGCGATTTCATCTTCATCACTCTCTGCAAGTTTATTCCCCGTATGCAATTCCTCCGCCATTTCAGCTAAACCAAAGCTCTCTTTTAGCTCTTTGCCTCCAAATTGCGCTAAATTCCAGCCCCTCAAAACCTCCCGACTTTCCACTTCCAGAATTCTTGCTGCCCCTGAAGTCTTGGACTCCGCCGATGTTACTGCTACTGAGGTTGCGCATTGTTTCATGGAAATCAATTGTAAAAAAAATAAAAATGCTTTCTTTTTCTATATTGATTTTGGGTTTTTGTGTATCTTTTGGTGTGCCAGGATGAAGTTTCTACTACTTCCTTTCCAGATGTCAGCTTTGATTCCGATAAGGTAAAATTTCTTTTCTTTTCTGGATTTTCCCCAATTCGTCTCAATCATTGACCATCTGATGCTTTCGTATGGGATTAGGTTCTATTGTGGTCATTAAATTTCTTGTGGAATTTTAACTGAGTAAAAATGAATTTCTAAATTGCAAACTGTAATATGCTAAATTTTTACTTGTTTTGTTTTGTTGATATTCATTACATTGCTTTGCATTTTCATTTTCCAGCAAAACTGCTTTGTGAATGTGCAATTTTAGAACAAAAGTTTTGTGGATTCAACTATAATGTAGAGGATTGTGGGCTAATCTATTGTTCTGAGAATATATCTAGAAACTGATGTTAGTTAGCTAAGACTTAAGAGCACCTGAATAAAGGTTGGACCATATCGAATGCTGAAAATACTCAATTTTTGTGTTTAATGTGCGGGGCTTTGATTTATTGTTCTTTTGGGGAAGAAACATTTAGGGGGTGTTTGGTAAATAGCTGTTAGATGATTGGGTTAGTGAGTTTGATTAGTTGATAGTATTAACTGATTGTAGAAAGATGTTTGGTAAATTAGCTGATAGATGATAGTTGATTACATGCAAAATGACTTTCTCAAAAAGCTTATAAAAAAGGTACTTCGAGAGCTTTTTGAATTTTAGCATTTTGAAACAATAAGCTGTTACAAAAAGCTAATTAATCAAACACTTATATTGAATGTTTAACCAAGTCAAACAGCTAATAGTGGTCAAATAAGCCAAAATTGGCTGATAAGCTAACTATGTTACCAAACAGGGCCTTAATGCCAGAACTCGGTTTTGCAAGTATGAATAGATTCGGGGACCCCTACGTTTTTCAACTCTAATTGTGGCATGTTGCGTCTATTCTGATGACCGTAGTTCTGAATAAAAATCTGTTAGGAGGGCATTTTGAACTCGTATCGAACCTGAAAGGAAATGGAACCATTGGTTACCTCTTCTATCTTTTTGCTATCTTTCAACTCGGACTGGAGCTAGATATGAGGCTTAGATTAGTTGTATTTCATTTTATGAGCTCGATATTGACCTGACCTGCTATACTAGAAGAACAAAGTATGAGTTTTTTGATACTGCATTTGACTTGTCTCTCTTTAGTATTGTTACCATTTAGTCATGAAATTAACACGGTTAAGGAAACCGGTGTTTCAGGTGGCACCAAAGCATAAGATTAGAATCAAGTTGAGGTCATACTGGGTACCTCTGATAGAAGACTCATGCAAGCAGATAATGGATGCAGCGAGGAATACAAACGCGAAGACCGTGGGTCCCGTGCCATTGCCTACCAAGAAGAGAATATACTGCGTGCTTAAATCCCCACACGTCGACAAAGATGCCAGGTTCCATTTCGAGATTAGAACGCATCAACGCCTTATTGACATTCTTTACCCAACTGCCCAAACAATCGACTCGTTGATGCAGCTCGACCTTCCTGCTGGAGTCGACGTGGAGGTCAAGCTGTGAAAGTTAAGTTAGCTTTCTGCTCCATTGTCAATGGAGCAGTGGAGCACCCTTATTTTTTTTCCATCACATTTGCAGTTCTGCTTTTTGAAATCTGAATAGAATGAGTGCTGAACAAATTTTAGCTTGTGGAAGCAGTGATAGACACAATCTTTATGTATAATATTTGAATAGTTAACATCCATCCATCATATATGCATTGTTTCACCATGACCCATAGTTCTCACTGAACTTTGCATCAGAAAGGTAAAAACATGGCCAAAACATCATTGCTATAAGGTTTTTACTAGGAACCTCAGAAAGAAGGTTGATGTTAGAAGTCAGAGTAAAGTAATCCAACTAAGTAACTAAGTTTGTCCGACAGTTGGTTTAGTAATCACAGGGTTTCAAGTTTGACTCTTCATAAAGCTGTTTATTGGTCTTTTTGGTTTGAACTGATAAGTTATGGACAATCTACTTCGCTCCTTTGCATGTTAAGGTTGAGATTTACCCACAGCATCGCTTTTGGGTAAGGGTTACAAACTTTCTTGTAAATGATGGGTAAGGGTTACAAACTTTCTTGTAAATCAAAAAGTAAAGTGAATTTGACAAAGCTAGGAGAGTAAATTGGTTATAAGGCCAATCTTATCACAAGTTAATTATATAAAGTTTGTCATGTAGTAAAATAAATATATATTTATTTGACTGTCCTACGACTATTGAAAATTGGAATTGCATGGCATAAATAAGTATAATTTTGTTTAACATTTTTTTTCTTTTGTACGTAAAAAAATAAAAATAAAAAAGAAGTTAGTGATCATGTTAAATCAATTAGAGTTAATACTTGAGGTACTTATTCTGTTACAATGTAGTATGAAGCACAAAGAGTGTCAGGATCAAACTAATGACCTTCCATTTAGAAGAGTCATTTCGTGCCACTAATACAATGTAGTACTAGTATACAAAGAGTGTTGAGGATCAAACCTATGATCTCTCATTTAGAATGATACATTTCATGCCACTAAATCACAAGGTCATTGGCGTTTTTCGGTTGGTTTATTCTTTAATTCAATTTATTGTCTTATATTATATTCTCATTTTTAAATATAATCATCCATCTGCTTAGTGAAACTTTATCTAAGAAATACTCTGTAGTAGTTAACTCAAAACTCTCTGCGGGATCGACCTAAACTTGACATGTTTATAGGTTAGTTTAATTTTATTATTTGGTGCTAAACATCACGCATCACATAAATATTTTTATAACATTTCAAAGCGTTTTAAATTTTCACACCAATCAAGTATATTTCTAGCTGGGCCTACTTCATCATTCATCATAAACATTGTATTGTAATTTATAATGTATTTTGTATTTGAATCATTTTATCAGTATTTGATATTTGGTCATAGACATTTTTTAATTCATTTGAACTTCGCCCATTCAAAATAATTCATGGACCAGGCCCCAAGTATAGAACAGTTTTCTCACTTTTACTCCCTGATGTGATAGACTATCTTCATCACGTGAATCCTAATAAAATGTTTACATCAAAATTTTGAGTATAAGAGTAAAAATTAAGAGTAAAGAATTAGGGGTCGTTTACTTCGTTTCTCTGTTTCTCCATTTCTAGTTTTCCATTTCTCCATTTCTCCAATTTTCCTTCTCCATTCTTCCAGTTTTCCATTTCTCCAATTTTCCAATTTTCATTCCCCATTCCTCTAGTTCTTCATTTCTCTAATTTTCTGCTTTTATTAAATACAAGCGTCCCATATAGCATTTTTACATTTCTACAACAACAACAACAACAACAACAATAATAATAACAACAATAATAATAAAGATAAAAAATTAAAAATAATAAAGATAATAATAATAATAAAAGATGTTTAAAAATAATAATAATAATAATAATAATAATAATAAATATGTTTTCAAATAATAATAATAATAATAATAATAATAATAATAATAAAGATGTTTTCAAATAATAATAATATAATAATAATAATAAAGATAAAAAAATTAAAAATAATAAAGATAATAATAATAATAAAGATGTTTAAAATAATAATAATAATAATAAAGATGTTTTCTAATAATAATAATAATAATAATAATAATAATAATAATAATAATAATAATAAGATCAGAATAATAATAATTGTATTATTAATAATAATATTAATATTCACGCAAACTCCGCAAAGCAAAATTGAAGCAGCAAATTAAAATTGAATTAAAGGCAAAACTGAAGCAGGCAAACAAAAATTTGAATCAAACGCGCAGAGTTGGTTTCGAACCTGCGACCTCTTGGTAGGAGTACTGTTCACCCGTAATTCCTCCGTCCCTCCATTTGGAGAAGTCCAAATTTCCTTTCTCCAAAAATGTACATGAAGTGGAAAAATGGAGAAAGAGGAAGCATTTGGAATAAGGATTTTAGTAAACAACTTTTCCATTCTCCATTTTTTTACTCCTCCAATTCTCCATTTTTCTGGAAAATCCTCCATTTTTCCAAGTTGGTAAACGACCCCTTAAAGTTTACATAGGATTTTCCATTTGAAATAAGCATTGTTCTTGCCACTTATAATCGCAATAGAGGACTAATCAAATTTCCATTTGAAATAAGCATTGTTCTTGCCACTTATAATCGCAATAGAGGACTAATCAAATCGTTGAAGTCCCAAGGCAAATGCAATGATTTTGGCACCTATCAATTTTGCTGCATTTCAACTCATAATTCCATGCAAAAGGAATGATAGTTCCATTCTACAGTCACAAAACCATCTACAAAATTTCCTTTTCTTCATGCAGGAGGTTCTAATCTTCCGGAATTATAAGCAGATGTAAAACATGAATTTAGAGAAAATGAGAAATTCAATTCTTCAGAAATAGACTCTTGAAATAACTTTCTTCCAGCCAGCAACAGCAAAACTAACCATAAATACAGAAAAGTGATCCAGTGCAGCAAAAGTTGAAGTCAAGTACCAAGATTAGGCGCTGGCGTTGCAACAGGTGGGCCGTGAGAGTACCTCCATTCTCCACACGCTGCACATTTCTCCAACTTCGTACTGTTATCCAGCGTACAAAATTTGCATGACCACATCTTATCCTTGTCATCACAGTCCTTGGGCTTTCGAGCTTGACAAAGCTCACAGATTGGAGCAAACGGCTGTGATAAGATAGAACGATCCAAAAAGCTACATTAGACTGTAACAATTGACAAATCAAATGATCTAAAAGTAAAAGAGCAAAGCAATTGCCAGCAGGCTGAGAACAATAGAGCTCAAAAGCATAAACCACAAGCATATATAATTACTTGAAGTAGATAAACACCATTCACAATACTCAAAGATGAGAAATATTCTTACTCCACTGTCATACATATTGAAAGAGTTAATACCTCCAATGGTCCTCCATGTTTTAAAAAATAAGCACCCCTGGTCCTAATTCTTAAAAAAACCCGAGTTTAAAATGACCACGAGACATCCTAAAAGGACCACGGGTGGTTATTTTTTAAAACATGGAGGACCATTGGAGGTCATTTAAAACTCGGATGACCACAACTGGTAAATTGCTAATACTCGGAGGACCATTGAAGGTATTAACTCCATATTGAAAATAGCGTTCAATGAATGGCAATGACCATAAAAGAATGGAAAAGAACATGTCAATGCTCACGATAAATAGAAAGTTGGAATTAACTTCATGTGTACTACAAATGATATTCCCCATAACCCCATTATTCTGCAATGTACTAGGGTAATGAAATAATTGTATGTAAGCAATCAATTACTATTATTTTTATTATTTTTGGTTTGTAAATAATTAGTATTATAATCAGATACCTTCACTCTTTTGCCATTTTAACTTGTTAATTCCCAACAATTAAAATAAAAAATAAGAGTTATAACCTGAACAAGACACAATGCTTTGTTCATCTAGAACTTCAAAAAATGAAGAGTGCAGAATAGTGTGTATAAAGGGTAAAAGATAAAGAAGACTTTAAATACTTAAAAGCCTCATCATCAATACTAAGACGTACCGGATTCAACAAAGTGCACATTGAACATTCCCAAGCTACTGAATTCTCCAAACTACGTACCACATCATGGCTAGGAACTAATCTTTGATTTGAGTTATCATCAGTTAAATCCACAAAATCTGACCCTTTATGATCATATGGTGGCCGAGGAAGTGATGTTCCCTCTCCGCGGACTTTCTTGCAAGATTTGTCCCTGTGACTAGGCGCAGATTCAGATGTAGAAGTGAACACATTATGATCATCTGAAGAACTTGAAAATGAAACATTTGTTGGCTCTCTGTTTCTTTTTTGAGGTATTGTATTAATAGGCTGTTGATATACATTACTAGAAAGCTTTGGTTTCACAGAAGTAGGCTCCACATTCAAAGGTTTTAACGATGGATCAGAATCATCATCATCATCTCCATGCATATTACAAGACTCTGAACCACACCAGATGTTATCTTGTAATCTCCTCTCTGCAGCCATGGCAGCGGCTTGTATTGGAGTAAGTGCACCCATGATTGATTTATTCCCCCCAAGGCGTTTAGGGCCAGGTGGCAACAAAGATGTAAGACGTGCCCTCTTTTCTGCAGCAACAGCTGCAGTCTTCCGTAGCGATGACAGAGATGGCTGAGGAAAGAACCCCCCCACGCGCTTTCCAGGGAGATCAAACCCTTCCCCTGTCCCACTTATCCCCTTGCTCATAAGATCTTCACATTCCTATTCATGTATAAATGCACATCAGGGCAAGGTGGGGAAAACAAAAAACAAAAACAATCAAAGCACCTAATTTTCATGCATTTGAAGAAAATTTATTAAATTTCAAGTTGTTCCACTTAAGTGACATTGTGATCCCTTTTCGAAGTCTTTAATCAAGGATGAAAAAAGAGAAAGAAAATACACATTAAATGCCATTATGGAGCTTTCAAGAATGTGTTTGAACACTAAAAGTAATAGACGGTTCCATGCCAGCAAAACAGGCACACATTTGGCACACATGGTTATTAGAGCATTGTGCTGCATGCCTATAGGCTATATTTGAGTGTTTATTTTTTATTATATTAACATTTTTTTTTCTTTAGTTCTTAGCAAAACTGTCAAATGACATATACCCTTTCTCAATTCAGATGTAAGGTGAATAACAAACAATGTTCAGTACACTTAACCTTCCTAAGTTCGTCCCAAAGCTTGTAGAAACTTGAATTATGAGCACTATGAGCATTGTGGCAAAGCTCATGAAGCATGGTGTCCAAAACATTATTAAACGGAAGAAATTCTTCATCCCTGTTCGGCCTCCTAAGCCTAAGCTTTACATTAATACCAGCTCCTACATTCACTCCCAGAAGTCTTGGATTCTTTGGACTGCAGCATCAAATGAGCACTACTTTATTTCAAGAACAGAAAAAAAAAAAAAAAAAAACAAAACAAAACAAAAATCCAAATGCTATTAAGGCAGAAATATAAAAGTCCAAAAATTTGAATCGACCCAGGGTTTGAATTTTGTGGGGGGATTTGTTACCAGAATTCGGAAAGGACTTTGACTCTCCAACTGTGTTTACGCATGATCGGCTGAACCTGCTTGGCTATCCGTTCCAGAATCTTCTGCGCTTCTTCTCCTTTCGGCTTTCGCTTCAGGGCTTTGATCTCCCATACTTTGTTCATGTCGCCCATACTCATCGTTCTCGAACCAATTCCTAACCCTAGAGAAAACCCTAATTCCCCAGCAATGCAACTCAAAATCGCTAGTGAATCGTGATTGGTGAATACGGAACCGGAAAGGCGTTTTCCGGAATCAGGCGAGATGTTTGATCAGGCTGCTGAATTTGGCGGGATTTTGACATTGCCAAAATGGGTATGCTCAGAGGAGCATTCACATGTCGGGTATATGCCCGGTTCAGATCGGGGCATGGGCAATTGGGCATTTCCGATTGGGTTAAAATGTGGGGAAAGTGTCAAATTGGTCTCCTAAATCGCATGGACAGTACAATTAAGTCCTTTAAGTAAAAAAAAAAAAAAAAGTTGTATTGAAATTCTCTAAACCGATAAAATAGTTAAATTAAGTCCTAGCTTACATTTTTATCAGGTTAAAGTCTTGTGGAGTTGACGCGTGTCTTTTTATTTATTTTTAAAACAATTTTTTATTATTAAAAATAAAACATATTATTTATAAAAATAAAAATATAAATTAAAAAAAAAACAGTTTAAAAATAAATAAAAAGACACGTGTCTAACAACAAATGGCTTTAACCGGATAAACAAGTTAACTTGGTTTAAAGGACTTAATTGAGCTTTTTTTTCCTTACGATTATCTTTCCCTGCCGCCATTTCCACTGCAGACAACGTTCGCCTTCATTGTCTTCTCTGCTTTTACCGTCTTCTCTTCCTTCTCCGCCTTCGCCACCGGTTACGCCTCCCCCCACCCCTCGTTACTCCATTATTATCGCACTGTTATTCCCCTTTGTTTTGTTTTACTAGTTTAATTTTATTTGCAATTTTTGTATTTTTCCTCTCGTTGTTTTGACGAGTTTCTTCCTCTCGTTTTTGGCGAGTTCTAATTCATAAAGCGTGAAACAATAAAACTGGTCATTGCTTATGTGAATCTCATCCTGGGTGACAAACACGACAAGGAAAAAGAGACTCCTCTGAACTATGACATGCAGTTCAGCCCGATGGAGATATTTTCAATGAAAATAGATACTCAGGTAGTGTGCAAGACTATTCAACCAGAGTCAGTCTTGAGTACGTTTGACTATATCATTAAAGAAGTTTTAAGTTCCTTCAAAAAATTCAGCTTCAAATTTGTGAAACAGTCTGCGAATCAAGTTTTCTCTAGCATTGCTAGGGAAGTTGTTTCTATGTCTGACTGTAAGGAATGTTTGACCATTTCATCGATTCTTATTGTAAACATTTCAGCCTATGATTAATGAATTAGCTTCTTTATTTAATATATATATATATATATATATATATATATATATATATATATATATATATATATATATATATATATATATATATATATATATATATATATATATATATATATAATCTTGTAAAGAATCATAGGTATTTCAACTTGTATGTAATTAAGTCCATAATTTTTTAAATTTGTGCAATTAGCTTAATTTGCAGGTAAGCATGAAATAATAGTAGGTCAAATTGATTTTTTTAAAAAAAAAATTATAAAAAAATAAATAAATAAATAAAAAATCTGTCCAGTTGACGGAGAAGCCATGGCCGGCTTCTATGTCAAACTGGATGGAGAAGCCATAGGTGGCATATCCGTCAAACTGGGCGGAGAAGCCATGGCTGGCATCTCCGTCCAGTTTGACAGAGAAGCCGACCCATTCTCCGTCAACTGAATGGAGAAGCCATTGCCGGCTTCTCTGTCAACTGGGCGAAGAAGTCATGGCTTGCTACTCCGTCCAGTTTGACTGAGAAGCCTGGCATTTTTTTTAAATTAAAAATATATATTTTTTTTAAATTTAAAAAAAAAAAATTTACCTGCGACTTAAATGTAATATGCTAATTAACTTAATTGCACAAAAGTGAAAAGATGAAGAGTTTAATTGAAACTTTTATTAGTTGAAGGGTCTATTTGACCCTTATCCAAAAAAAAAAAAAATTAAAATTAAGGTGTTATGTTCCTTCTTAAGGTGCGTGGTTTTTGTGTTTGTGCGTCAATTCTTTAGTTGAGAACTTAAGGTGTGTTTTTTGTTTAAACTTAATGTGTGCCATTCTAAACCTTACGGTGCATCTTTTCATAGCTTAAGGTGCGCCATTTTAACATTTAAGGTGAGTTGTTTAACACGGGTAGAAATTTTATTTCTGAAAATTTCCTACTGGAATGAAAATTGGAAAAATTTTCTATTCTTTTTCCAGGGGATAGGGAGTATACTGTAGCGCCAGTACATCTTTCCTACGAGATTCCGATGTTTGCTACATCGCTCTAGAGCTTTCTTGCACAATTGCACCTTTACATAACATCTCATAGTTTGTAGAACAGTCTAGAGGCATGTACATATCAACTAGAGGTTATAGATATGTTTAGAACATTCTAAAACCTTAGAATTCTCAAGTTTGTATAGAGATTTTGGGAGGATTCTAGAGAGTAAATCTTAACCGTAGGATTAAGTAGATCTCCACCATCCATTGAGGAGGTGGAATGGGTATAAATACCACTCAAGGGACCTCATTTGTAACCATCAAGAGTTCAAGCAATACAAGTTCCTTACATAGTTGTCAAGTGCATTTTTTAAGAGGGAGTGTTTTTCTTAAGAGGAAAAAGTAGTTAAGATTGCACGAGAAGTATGAATGATCTATCAAATTAAGCATGAAAAATGGTTCAACTACTCATTAGGAAGGGTAACCAAAATCCATATAGATATTCCAACCTTAATCTCAATTTAGCACACAATATATACTTTTGAAGCTAATAAAATTAGGCCAAGCAAGATTATACTGATCTAAGGGTACTTTCAAATAATAAACTAGTTAAACATGACAAAATAATAATTAACCTGTATTTTACACGAGCTGGGTTGGAGAATTTTTTATAATAATTAACTTGCATTTTCCCCCCTTAAAAGTTTCCGGTTATAATTCAGATCAAACACAATATTTAAATGTCAATTTATTAAAATTATGTATAAACATTTTGAATCTTGAACCGTAAATCAGCGGTTCCGGATCCGGTTTGTGATTTTGAACTGTCTTTATTTTAAAATTTTAGTTTTTGTTTTAAAATAGTCTAAATTCAACAATAAATGTATTTTATTTTTTCAGTTCGGAACATAAACCGTCCGTTCCGGTTCACGATTTTAATAAACTCTAAATATCGGGTTTCGATTCTAAATTGTAATTGAAATATTTCGGTTTGGGTGCTATAGTGTTTGTTTGGTTTGAACCAAATTATGGTCATAATTTGTTGGAGAAAAAAAATAAATGAAATATTTATTTTAAGGGTAAATATGTCCATTTAACATTTCAGGAGAAAAATAGCCACTTCAATAATTAAGGGAGGAAAATGGTATAGGTATATAACCCAGGGGAAAAAAGTGTCATTTTCCTTTAAAAATATTATTGTTTACAAAGACTTCAACCATTAACCTTTTACTTAACGTATTAGTATTGAAACCAACTATACTAAGAACACATGTTGAATATTTTAATATAATTATATATATTATATTATATATATACTAATAAGAGCTCAAGAGAGTTAGGCCTATAATGGGTAGAAAAAATGGCGGTCAAATTTTTTAATAAAATGGATGGCTCAGATTGATCAGATTTTAATTTTTCCTTAAGATTTACTAATTTATCCTTAATGAATATGATTTTCCGTTAACTTTTCCGTTAAATATTATATTTTCCGTTAATTTCTGTTAGTTCACCGTTAACTTACTCATTGATTTTAATAAGAAAGATCTTATGTTCGAACCTCATCCCAATAAAAGTTGACATAATTAGTACTCTATTTTACTCTTATTAAATTAATAATAATTCAGTAGCTTCAACAAAAAATAATACATGCATATATATGCATTTCTTTAATTTAGAATTATGTGTCTACAATGTCTTTATTCAAAAAAAAAAATATTCATTATCAATAAATTAAATAAGATAAATAATCTCATTAGTTATATTGTCCTTTATTTTTCTCCAATATAAAAATTCTTTACATTCAATTTCATCAATTGATTATATTCGCTACACTATCCCTACAATGTCTTTATTAAAAAAAAAATATTCATTATCAATAAATTAATTAAGAGAAATAATTTTATTAGTTATATTGTCTTTATATTTCTCCAATGTAAAAATTCTTTACATTCAAATTCATCAATTGATTATATTCACTACATTGTCTATTATCTTTTTTTGTGCACTATTTTTTAATTAAATATCAAAGTTATAATACAAAATAATGTTATATATTTATTTACCAAGTATTTTATTAATACCATGAAAAAATTAAAAAAAAATATATAATTAATAAAGCCAATCATATTAACTACTTGAGGGATTTGTTGACAAAGAGAGTATTCAAATCTCACAACAAAAAGTGAGAACTACCTCGCAATGTTCTTGTTTGACAATAAGCAATTAGCGATTAGCGTTAGCGGATTTGACCAGCGAATTATATCAACGATTGGTAAAAAGATACTCCGTATTAGAAAAAATTAGCTGTTTAGATTACCATGTAAAATGACCTAAGGGTATACACAATAATAATAATAATAATAATAATAATAATAATAATAATAATAATAATAATAATAATAATAATAATAATAATAATAATAATAATAATAATAATAATAATAATAATAATAATAATTGTTTAAAAAATATATATATAATTAAACCAATCATATTAACTACCTTGGGGATACTACATTGGGGAACATATACTACATTGTAATAGAGCCAGTAGCATTAAAAAAAAAAAAAACAAGAAAAAAAAAACACTACCTTGGCGATTTATTGACGAAAAGAGTATTTAAATCATTTACACAACAAATTGAAGTGGGAAACTACCTTGCAATGTCTTTGTTTGGCAATCCGCAGTTAGCTCTTCAATATTAGTATATATTTAATATTTTATGCCTTAATTTTTATTTGCTCTCCCTTATGTCCCGTATTTGGTTTCAACCATATACCTATACAATTATTTTATTGACAATTATAATCAATCTTGACTATATTATCTTGCATTTGTAAACTTAGAATTACCTATTTAAATACGCAAATTCAACATTCTAGTATCTATGCATGAACAATTCCAATATAATCTTGTATTTATATACTTTAGAGTACTTATTTAAAAAAATATTGGGCATTATCCTAATCGCGCAATGCGCGTAAAAAACTAGTAATTATATATACATCATTCACAAGCATTAAATATATAATTGATTTATATTACATTTATTACAAGTATTAATTAATAAAATTAATTGTATCTTTATATAAATATTAATATAAAGTTTATTTATTATATAAAGTAATAAATTATATATTTTATAAACTTTATTATAACTTAATAGTGTTATAATTACAAAATAAAAAATATTACATGTAAAATATATTAATATTAAATATAAATTAAATAAATTATAATTACATATTAAAAATTAAAATCTAATTTTATATGTATATATGTCATATGTGTTATTGTGTATATGTTATATGTGTACATACATATCTGTATATATATAAATATGTATATGTTATATATATATAAATATACATCTTTGTTCACAATGGTTAATATGGTTGATTGGAAATAGTCTTAAGCTATTAGTTATTAACTTAGAGGTCATGGCTTCAATTCCTAAGCAATACAACAATGGAGGGACTCAAGAAATATGTTCATGTGGGGGAAATTGCCATGGTCTAAGGGTAATTTTTGCAACAGTGTTTTTAGTAATTATGTTATTTTTTTTAAGTGTTAAATAGGTCATCAAACTTTTATAGTTTGTACAATTAGATTACCGACTAAAAAAATATTGCAATTAAACTATTTCAAATAAAAAATGTTTGCAATTGATATTATTTGTAGGATTCTTCTACGTAAAACAAGTTAAATTGTTGAATTGGTATATAATGTGGTAGTTTTAAAAAGAGGACACTGGGATGGACATATGTTGCATGTTAAAAAACAAATTAATTATAAAATAAAATTTTAAACTTCCATTTTTTTTTTTTTGTAATAAAAATAAAAATCAAAGCTTTATTGTCCAACGAATTATTAAAAAAACAAATTTAAAACTTTACAATTACCTCTATCGACGGAGGAGAGAGAGCTGCTAGGAGGCGGGCTGCCTCCTCCGTCCAAGTCGACGAAGGAGTAGGCAAAGTTGTCACCTCCATTGTCGATTTAGATGGTAGAGGCATCCTTCGTCTACGTAAACGGGAAAGGAGGCTACATTCTCTGTCTACATCAATCGTGAAGGAGGTTGCCTCCCCGTCAACATTAACAAAAGAGGAAACTTTGCATCTGCGGTTAATCTAGACGGATGAGGTTTAAAAAAAATGATAATAATAAAATTTATATTATATTATATTTATTAATAATTAAAAAAAAAGTTATTTTATTTTCATTGTGACATGTCAAATCAAAAGTTTACTAGAGAATTTGTTATTTGCCTACAAATAATGTCAATTGCACACATTTTTAATAGGAATAATGCTTAAATAAGTCACCGAACTACGTGTGAAAATGTAATTGAGTCATTCAACTCAAAAAAACTACAATTGTGTCCTTGACAGTGGACAAGCTAAAAATCATGCAATTAAATAAAAATTGACATGTTCCTATGATTATTGTTGATGATGTGGCGGTCCTTTATTTAAAAAATAAATAAAATTTATTTTAATAATTTTAAATAAAATAAATAAAATCACCCCTCATCATCTTTGTCTACTCCAACCTTTGGACTAAAAAATGTGGCGGGGAAGAGTGGTTTTATTTTTTTATTTAAAAATAATACAGTAGTAATTTTTTAATGGGGTGACTTCCACGTCAATAATCGAAGAAACAAGACCAATTGTAGTTTTTTTTTAGTTGGATGATCTAATTGTATTTTTATGTGTAGTTCAATGACCTATTTGAACATTGTTCTTTATTAATAATATAAGAATAAGCGTCAAATAAATCATTGAATTGCACACCAAAGTACAATTAGGTCATCAAACTCAAAAACAATACAATTGGATCCCTGAACCACATAATTTTTTGGTTACCTAATTGCATGATTTTATGTATAATTTCACAAATAAATATTACAATATCTATCATAAATAACCATTTTTTAAAATTCAAATTGATATTAAATTTTCTATAATATAAGTAAGTATCACAATTTCTTTATAAGTAACATTTCACATGTAAGTATTACAATATTTACATTAAAATTATACTTAATAAGTATCACAATTTCAGTTATAAATATTACAATATTCATCATTAATAAGAGTCGTTTTATCCTAAATAACATCACATATTCACATATAAATATTACAATATCTAGTATAAGTAACAATTTATTTATTTCAAATTAATATTAAATTTTCTGCAATAAATATTATGATTTTTATCATAAGTAACAAACAATTATCTTAGGTCTAACCTCTCTCACATATCTCACACAAGTGTGACTCATAATAATATGGGGTTAAACATGAAGTTGATTTAAGCTAGGGTAAAGATATTTAATGGAAGAGTGCAGTAGGCTGGAGTTGAAAAAGGGTCATCTCCAAACAAGGATGGAATTATTAACTACACAAAATTGGTTGCTACTACTTCACAGTAGTAATAGTTGTTGTTGTTCATTGTCTCGAACAAGTATACAATCCTACAGTTAGCCAATCCTTGTATCTAGCGGCGCCAGATACGACCCTGCTGCTTTTGCTCTTGCATTCGCCTGCACCATTACCAATTACATCCACTACGTTAAGTTCAGATGCTTCACAAACAATATAATTGGACGAAGACGATGCAAGAACAGATGGATTCATTTCAGGAAAGGAAAATACGACAGAGTAGTATGTATTGAGTTCCTTTCTTCACACAAGGAATTATGAAAATTCCAAACCGTCATATTTCCTTCAACGTATCTAAGATAAAAAATTTACTGAGGATTGAATGAGGAACAAAGCTAGCAAAGAGATTCAGCAGGCAGTCAAAACATGGAAAACAGGAATTTCACCTCTGATGCTCCTTAGACCGTTCAATGAACTCCTTGGCAACATCACGCCCTTCGTATGAAGATAAAACAGCTCGTATATCACCTGGCCTATGCTTGCCAACATCTGCATTCAAAGCATCATCCTGTAAACCCTACTCCTAGAGATTGAAGTATAAATATTTTTCTTTAAAGAAAAAAACAACAACAATAATAATAATATGACCCATAATAACTTGTATCTGATTCTAAAGTTAGAAGTCACAAAAGTAAGGCAATTACATTCAAGAAATGGAATAAGATCCAAAAGTGCTGTATCTTCAGATTCTCCTGTCCATGGTTTGATTTCCAAACAATTTTCTGGTTGAAGGCTGCTTTCAAGTGCATGACCACTGATATATATAACCTTTGAGGGATCTCTGTTCAGCATTGAAAGATCCTGGCAGCAGAAATCATTTATTAATTATATATAAAATGCAGTCAACTCGATGTCCAACAAAAGATAAAAGGAAACTAGGGACAGGGAATATGCATAATAATAAATAAAAACAACAACTCAACCTAGGTAATTTAGACCACAAGCAAAATAACACAACCTAGCTAGCTAGTCACATAATAATAGTAGATTCTTACATAAATGCTCATTTTAAATGAAGCCCATAATCAAGTGGTTTGAGTTTCCTGTTACATAACCAACAGATAAAGAAACTCAATCCAAATTCGAATCTCTTGGCATGAAAAGTAATATGTGCAATTGTGCATATATTGCATCAACACCATTAGTGGAATTTTTTCATACATATAATTCAGCTATACAGCTGAACAACATAATAGAGTTCTATATCCTTCCAATTATGGTTACAATGATAAAGAACCCAGATGGCATAAAAATCCAGAGAACTAGGGAAACAAATCAATATATAAACTAATGTCAGTTCAGCATAGAAGATTCACTCCACAGAAAAGCAACAGTAGTGCTAAGTCCATAAGTGTTAACAGAAAAATCTTTTAAAAAGTGCCATTTGTTTGTGAAAAGCTACTGCCATAGATGTAGTGAAGTAGGCCACCACAAGCTCCAAAATATTTATCTAGTGCTTATAATTTTAATAAATTCAATATGTGCCCCAATTAATTTTAATACAAAAAATTTATTCAAGTGCCCAATAAACTCTTGAACTTTCCGGAAAATGCAATTGGACCCTCAAACTGAGAAAACCCTTGTGCTCGAACTCAGGGGAAACAAAGAATTGCAGTTGGACCCTATTTACTTACCAGTAAACAACTGGTAGCCCTTATAAAATTGATAATGAGGCCGGTTTTTGTTGACATGGCATACATAATACATAATAATAGTAATAATAAAAAGGAATAAGTGTCAAATAAGTCCTTGAAGTAGTCAAAATAGTGCAATTGAGCCCCTTAATAAGTAAAAAAAAAAAAAAAAAAAAGCTCCATTCAGAGTTCAGACCCCACAAGTGAACAAAAAAGTTCAATTGACTCGTTTAGTAGGTTAACAACAGGTAAAAGCTGAATTTGCAGTAAATTAATGCTAAATATTTGGGGCGATAAGGAAAACAGGTGGACAAGGTTGTCTTCATCGACCTCTGTTTGGCAAAAAAAAATTTAATATTTTTTTTAAAAAATCCTAGTTAGGTAAACTAACACCAAATCAACGCCAACACTTTAAAAAATTACACAAGGAATCCAACCTAGCATTAATTTACCACCAAACTCAGCTTTTACTTTTTGTTAACCTGCTAAATGAGCTAATTGCACTTTTTTGCCTACTTAGGAGGTCTGAATGAAGCTCTTCTTTTTTTTTTTTACTTAAGGGGTTCAGTTGCACTATTATTACTACTTCGATGGCTTATTTGACACTAATCCCTAATAAATAATAATAATTTTTTTTGAACTTCTTGGCTGCCATGAAGATTTTGAAAAAGGTAGGATGATATAATTTAGTCAAGCTAGCATCCTATGTGTACAGCATAGAGGATGAATATATGTGTTGGCATCCTGTATGGCATGTAACCTGACATTTACATGCAACAAGGGAGTAAAAACTACAAAGGGGTCAATTGCATTTTTTTTCTCAAGTTTAGGCATCTATTTGAATCTTTTTCCAATTCAAGAGTCCAAATGCATTACCCATTTTCCAAAAATGTTCAAGGCTTTATTTGACCCTTAACCCTTTATTCAAAGTGTTCTAATTAAGGGAACTTTGAACTCTACAGATAAGACTACATATAAAATTGCATTTTCATTGTTCAATCTATCAATTCATTGTTGTTTCCTTTATCAATTTATTAATAGGTGTTGAATATAGAAAAGTAACCCAAGGGTTGTAATATTCTGCTCAGCCCAAACTCATATCTGGAGTATATAAATATATGATCTTCTGTACGTATTTTTACACAAATGCAATTAAACCTTTCTACTTTCACAATAGGTATAGAAATTTGAAAAAACATTTTAAGTAAATTAGCAAAAGAAAATAGAGGCCCAATTATAGGAAGCTAGTTGAGTCCCAAGCAAATAATCATCACATCTGAGATCTGACTAAGGCTTAAAATGAATGTTCACATATTACTATGTATGTTCAATTTGAACTAAACTATTTAGCATCATAATATTTATCAATTTTAAACTAAATGTTCATAGTGCACGACTAGATGTTCATCAAGTATGGACTGAATGTTGATTGAGGGCCCATAGATGTATGAGTAAGGGCTCATAGTATCCCAATTACAAACAACTGAAACAAGTGGTGCCCCAGCAAATCGCTGAGGTACTGTTGAAAGTGGGGGAAGAAGGTAGTTCTGTTATGCAATACAATCATGGGTTGATACGGACAAAGTGAAGGTTGAGAAATAAACATGATGAGGGAAAAAGATGCACCCATCTTAAAACAATTACATGTAACATAGGACATAAACTTACTCTATAATGCTTGCCATTGAGATATTTAGTTGCACCTCTTGATAGCCTATACCGGATACAGTTCTTTGGATCCAATCTTTCGACAACAGGATCAACATACTGCAAATGCCAAGTAAAATATTTGAGAAATAAAACCAGAGAAGATTGAATAAGTGCAAAATGAATAATAGTATGTACCATGCTCTGCTGATCAGAGTATACAACAATCTCAAAAAACTGAGCTAAATGTTCCAGGAAAGCATCAACTCCAGGTCTCTTGAAAGTCCTCCAGCCTCTGTCACGCTTTTCAGAAGGAGGGGAAAGTCAAATAAAAGCAACAAAACCCAACTTAGAAAAGCATTACTATCTGGGGAAGGGCCACGGGGCCGGGGGGGGGGGGGGGGGGGGGGGGGGCATAATAGTGTGTTAAAATTAAGTAACATTTACACACACACATAAACCAGCATCACAGGAACTGCAACTGACACAGTACTTATAAACACACAAATTCCAAGTAAGATTGAGGCAGGTTTTATGAATCAGAGATACCTTCCAATCAGAATATACCAGCGTCTCATTTAGATCAAGAACAAGGGTAATCACATGCTGCTCCATGGGGTGCAAATCTGGGAGTAGCTTATCAGATAATGGTTCAGTATAATCCTACAAATAAAACAGACACTTCAATTTAATCTGATAAAAGAAGCAGAAATGTAATCAAAATAACAAAAAATCATAATTCAAATACAGCTTAATACTCTGTACTATAAATGATCTATAGATACTCAACTCGAACTTGCTCTTCTGCCAACCGTCTCAGATCTAGGTACAGTTCAACTAACTTGGCAGGTACTGAAAAGGTAGAGAGATAATAACCATTCAATTAAAATAAAAAATAAAAATAATAAAATAAAGAGAAGAAGAAGAAGAAAGAAAGAAAGAAGATAATGAGAATATGCACCAGATCTTGAGCATTTCATAGGATGTACAACTCAAAATTTTGTACTGTTTCATTATACTAATAGTCCCAAAAAGGTTAATGGCATCAGAAACATCATCAAAGTTCAAGATAGAATAGTGATAAATAAGACTTTAGCCAAACTCTAGATGCTCTTCCTCACTTTAAAATTCTATATATGCGTATATATTTAAAGAGAAAAACAGTAAGACAATGGTATTACCAGTCATTGCAGAAGAATACACCCGAGCTTTAATTTTCTGCAATAAGCAGAAGAAACATGAAATTTTCAGACACCTATTTCTAACATTACTGGAACACCACTATATGAAACAATATGAATGATCCCAGGATATATAACACAGAAGGAAAAACTAGCCTCAAACTCCCTGCAATGAAATTATCATGGAAATCTGGACACTTGTCAACATTTCTGAGGTTTACTGGTACATATCTTAAAATGCCATCTTCAAACCAATGTATAATGTCAAGGCTTCAAGTCTTTAAATTTTCAATTCATTAATAACTATTTCAATAAAGCATTTGTAGTGTTAAGCTGTCCACTCTTTTTTCAACCTAACACCCCTACCCTTTTTTTTCCAAAATGAGAAGGTTTTTATAACTCAGGTATGATGGTTCTTAATGAAAAGGCAATCTAAGTTTATGCTAGTAACAATAAAACATTCAATCTATTTCCACAAGTTTCATTGAATATATGATAACTAAATTTCTCACAAGACTATGCACTACATCTTAAACACTCACATCAAAAGCAGGTGCGTCATCCCCAACAGTATAATTTGCAGCTGCCCGAAAATCCCTGGTCTTCTGATCAACTTCATCCAGAGAGTATGCTGCAGATGAAGATAGCTCAGCTATGATGAAGTTAATTACACAAAATTGCCAGAATATTAAGCAGTACTCAACACATAAGCACTAAACCTCAAATTTAAGTAGAATACCCAAATGTATCCATTGAGTATGATGTAGAGGTGGATACTCAGCCGTAACTCAGGTATTGTATCACGAAGGCATTCAAATTAAGTATTATATTGCCAGAAAAGCAGTCAAAACCATAGTGACAAAGCTCACAATTCAACTGAATTCCTTAAAAGGTTAATGGAATTTGTTAGAAATTAAATTAGTCTCTTGAATTTCTTTTTATAAACACCAATCCAAAATCAACTTCCTTACCAATCACTAAATTACTGCCACATTGCATGTTAAAGGATAGCTTCTCATTTCTACCACTAACCACAACCAGTGTAAATTTAACCCTTGAAATCATGATCTATAAATACTAAATAACTTTATCACTCGTCACTGTCTACTGCTTTATTGATGCTTGTATAGCATTCTGGCAATTGAGCGTTGGAGGTTCTTTCCAAACACGGCTAGCATCATAACCAACAGTATAGCAACGAAACAATATCCAGTCCATACAATGAAATAAAGGATAGGCGAAACCGCGAAATCAATAACAAAGTACGAACCGTAGGTAGCATAAGCAGCTGTGGCTACGCCGCCAGTGAAGGCGGCAATGAGGGAATACTTGAGGAAACTCCACGGTTTCTTCTCAGCTCCGGCGGGGGGAGGTTTGGGAGTAGAAGCGTCGGACGGCGGAGGCTGATCGCTGAGTATTGTTGAAGAGGAAATGATTGGCTCTTTGGGAGGATCGGCGGTGGCGTTTGAGGAGAAGCGGCGGTTGTTCCTCGGAAACACGGAGAAGAGACGCGGTTGGCGTCGAAGTATTGCGGACATTTTGTATTGGAGTAAGAGCGAGCCAAAGCGTGGAAGTGTTGCAGAGACGATAGAGTCGACGGAAGGAGAGAAGGGTTGTGTGGCGACTACAAGCTAGGGGGGCAGGGGCAAGGGGGCAGCTTACAAATGAAGACTGATGGTGACCAATTGCTACTGTGCACCAGAAAATGAAAAGAACTTAAACAAAGGAAAAAATGATACTTTTTTGTCCTGAATTATAAGTTTGTAACATTTTTTTTCTTTAAAAGTGATAAAAAAATTTCATTTTTATGTTAAATATACATTTTTACTCTTAAATTAATTATTTTATTTATTTTTTCTAACAAATTATTATTTATATGTATGGATGACCACAATTCATTTGACCCGAACGAGACATTGTAGCAACCAAACCAAACCAATATGAATAGTTATGGTTACTATTCAAAACCGAAAAAAATAACATAAAATAAAATAATTGTTGAATTAAACTATTTTAAAAATATGAAATAAAATTTGCAAAAATAAATAAATAATGAATCGACGGTTCAAACCGAAACTAGAACCTTCCTATTTATCATTTCCTAGAACCGAATCACAGTCATATCTACTAATATATTGAATTAGAATAAGGGGGCGTTTGGTTCACGGAATCTTGGATTACCTAGGCAATCTGAGTCTGGTAATGTTATATTACATTGTTTGGTTCAAGTTATGAGATTACCAGGTAATGTTATATTACCTGAAAGCTGATGTGGCGGTAATGTTTCAAGGTAATGTGATTACCCCATTTTTTTTAGGTAATCTTAGATTACCTTGAATTATTCCAACTTTGCCCTTGTTAACTAATAATAATAATAATAATAATAATAATAATAATAATAATAGTAATATAATGAAATTAATACGGAGTATATGTTTATATAATCAAATATACATATGTGTATATTTATATATTTAGTTTTTTTTAATATTTAAATTTTGATATACATTCATAGATATAAATAAATAAATAAATACACACACATAATATATATATATATATATATATATATATATATATATATATATATATATATATATATAAGCATTTTGTACGCACGATGCGCGAAAGTTCATGCCCAATATTAAAACATTGATAAATACAAATAATTAAATTATAATTTGAATTATATATACACAAATAAGAATTAATTTCACTTTTGGTCCCACGACTTTTGAGTTGTTATCATTTTTGGTGCACAACTTTAAATTTTTTTAATTTTGGTGCCTAACTTTGTTATTTTTATCAGTTTTGGTCCTTCCAGCCAAATTGACGATAAAATATTTCCGAATTTTATATTTTAGGGGCAAAATCGTCATCCCATGAAAAGATCTTCAATATTTAAACAAAAGAAAAATCATATTAAGAGGAAAAAAAAGAGTTTGCCAATGGTTGAAACTATAAATCCCATAGATCTGTCTGATTTCTGCTCGTCTTTCCCATTATTCTCATCATCAAACACCTATAGATATAATTTTACAGTGATTTTATTTAGATATTGAAGATGTTTCCTTGAGATGACGATTTTACCCCTAACAATATAAAATACAGCAACATTTCACTGTCAATTTGGCCAAAAGGACCAAAACTGATAAAAATAACAAAGGTAGGCACCAAAATTAAAAATTTTTAAAGTTGTGCACTAAAAGTGATAGAACATCAAAAGTCGTGGGACCAAAAGTGAAATTAATTCCACAAATAATATATGTATTTTATACACACATATATGATTTACCATTCATAGAAATTTAATTAAAATATAATCAACCATTAAATTAATTATATAATGATTTTAATAAAATTATAATTAAAGAATAGGAAGAAGATATGATAGATAAAAGTGCATGATAATAATGATGGAGTCATCAATGTTGAATTAAAAAGTAACGGTGTTATAACGGTGTAAGGGTAGTTTCGTCTAACAAGAATATAGTAGGGACAAATTTGTCTAATAACATTGAAGTGTACAACATTTAAAGTAATATGTATACCTTTATTAGCATATAAAAAGATGGACATAAATCAAGGATATAACATTCATTGAGACTTATTATGTTTTTAGATATATATATATATATATATATATATATATATATATATATATATATATATATATATATATATATATATATATATATATATATATATATATATTATTGAGGCCATTATTGTAAATTGATTCATATAACATAAAATATAATCCTGAACCAAACAAGGTAATATTATATTACACCATCCAAATCAAACACACAAGGTAATCTTACATTCTCAAAATCTCACATTACCTTCCAGGAGGTAATCCTATTACCTGGGGTAATCCAAGATTCCGTGAACCAAACGCCCCCTAAATGTGAACCGGAACCGAACAGATTTATCAATTACAAATGGATCACTTTCGCACTTATTTTGATTCCACCACATATAAGTAGATATGATCACGGTTCGATTTCGGTGCGCATCTACCAATCCCATGTCAAACCCCCTACATTAAGAGCGTCGGCAGTGCGATGAGGTGCGCACCACCCCTATCGCCACATCACGTCAAGCGAAGGCGGTAGGTACCAACGCCACCCCCCCCCCACCTGCACCTGACCCCACAATAGACCATTGTGTGGCAGCGACATGACGGGGCCACGCGGCCAGGGCGCACCCGATGCGCTAGGAATACACCGGCCGTAGGGGGCCAGTGCTTCCTCCGGCAGTCAATTGGCCACCCACCCACTAGTGGTACCCCACAACCTCCACTTACCTTCTTCCCGGGCTAGCACACTCCATCTAATCTCATGCCCAAGCTATTTATATGGCCCTACGTGGCAGGGGTTGAGTCAACCCCTGTTAGCAACACCACATCACGGGAAGTTCGATATGTGTCGATGACCACACCCTCCATACCTCCTGCTATATACGCCCATGCTTTCATGTCATGATCTCATCACTTCTGCACTAGCCCAAACTACCATCCCCTGACCAGTGGGGGTGCCATCACTGCGCCAAGGGGTGCTCCACTCCTACCGGCCATGCCATGGTCAGAGGAGGTCGACAGGCCCTTGCGCCTATCAAACGCTCCCACCCCCCACGACTACGACACCTTCTAGGAGTTCTAGGGGCGCAAGGCCATGTCATAGGGCGCACCACCTGCGCTAACCCCGCCACGACCGAGAGAAGCCAACGGGCCCTAGCAACTGTCGAGGGCCGACTAACCATGGGCAATCCCGACCCCATGGCAATGGCAGTTTGCCTTCATTGTTTTGCTGGTCCAATCAACGAAACTCTTGCCCTGGACCACCCTACCTTCCACCTTGCTAGCCTATCATGAATTTTTCATTTTTAGGCCACCATTCTCCTCTGCTATCGGCAATTTATATCATAGACCAGGATCAAGGGTTTGATCTTTAGCGTGGGTATGGACCAACCTTAAATTTCAATGCCCACCCCATAAAGGTGCCTACAGAGCTACAATTCAGCGAATGGATTAACCACCCGACTACACCCAAAAAAAAATCCATTTGTACAAACTTACAAATTGCGACAGTTAAATGTCCAATTTAACAGTTGCTTCCAAACAATTATCCTCTCAAGAGTCTTTAAAAAAAAACAAAAACAAATATAATTAGGCAAACTAAAGGGATATAACGTGACAGAAAAAGTTTCAGATGTAGCCTCCTCCTTGGATCTTAGATGGTAAATACTCGTCTGACAAAAATGAAAGTGAACAGGCAGATAACGCTTCAAGCTCAAATTTGACTCCTTTCTCTAGCAGCAGCTCCAATTCAATCCTTTCAAAAACAAACAGAATCCAACAAATTTAGTATTCTTTTGAGCACAACAATTCATAATTTGTTTCTTCCATGTGAAATATCAGTAAAAAAAATTCAACCTCCATCTAGGCACTTCTCTTTGCATGTAGCATCTTAGTAACATTGCCTCAACTCTCCTCTTATCTAACAAGGTTCATTTACTTGTTAGAATAATAAGAAAATGCCAAATGGAATTATTAATATACTAGAAAGGATTCCACCTTCTTCTGTCAAGGGTAGAAGACATTGCTGTGGAATACAGTAGTTATCACAATCTAGAGGAAATGCTCCAAGCCACTTTATCTCGGGGACACACAGAAATTTTACATCATAGGCCATTTGCTTCAAGAAACAAGTCAAATGAATTGTGTCATAAATGAGAGGCATAAACAGGATAAATATAGCACCTTGCAAAACATCAAGGTTGTATAAATCCTTAAAACAATCTCACGATTCTCACCATAGAGCCAAATTTGTATGTGGCCAAGATGTCAAAGCCATATGGATCACAATCTACCAAGCAATATGCAGGCAGGCGCAGCTTCTCAGTGAGGAGCCGCAGGAATCTGTCAAGAAGATAAGATGACAAGAATCCAGATGATGCTGAGGATGCCAATCTGGAAATAGCATGACACAGTGAAACAGGATTTCTACCTCCTTGTGGGAACATCAGGATAGCCTCTTCCCTGTTAAAAAGATGTTAACAGATCCTAATATGAAGAATTAGAGAAAAGTGCTAACGTGAGGTGCTTACTGAGATGACAATGCAACGATTTCTTTTGCAGAATTGATCATTTGCTAGTCGTTGGAATACTGCACATGAACAGATAAAACATTGTCATGGTTAGACGCTGCAGGTCATAAGGAATCATTACCCTGCTAAAGAATATACCTGATTCCTTTTCCACAACTAAAATGTACTGGGCAACACTAATAATATCTTTGTAAATAATTAAGGAAATATAAACCCACAGCTGCACAAGTTGAGAATGACATAATATAGACAGATATTATCACTTGTTTCCTGAATTGTGCCCTTACCATCCAGGAGAAACCAATAGAACAAGTAAATAGTCTCATCATTCTCCTAACCTTCTCATTTGCTTAAATTTGTGCTTCCACACAACGCACCAAGTAAATGCTCCATTCATTCTTATTTCTCATAATAATAAATTTCAGCCATCTACAGCATGACATGCCATTCTCAAAAGGATACTGTCAACTTCTTCTACATGCACAGGAATGGGGTGTGCCTGCAGGAATGTCAACCTCTTAAGGTCATGTTATAATCTAAGTATCATCCTAATTTGAAATGATTATTTGCAGTTAGGCTTACTGTGTTTGGACTGTTAATACAGTCAAATTTTCTCCCAGCCTCTACAAATTGCAGCCATCCCATCACCAATCTAGATCGAACATATAAAAACCAGGGAACATAAGAACAAATGCACTGGAATGTAAATCTAAGTCAATGAATTGAGATTCTGAACTAAGTTAATGCATTTAAACAGTTGCATGCTACCATGACATTACTTTTGGGGTTAACAGAAATGTAGCAATCATGGTGCTTGGATGTGATTCTATCTTAAGGGTTGCTATGAAAATGTCTCCTCAAATATAACCAGTAAAGTAACATGAATTATCCAAGCCCAATCAAATAATTAAGTTATAATTGGGACTCTTTGATAAGACATGTAGATGCAAAAACAATCTTCGAAGTATCAAATTCATTGTCCCAGGAACAGGAATGAATAAATGATCTTACATTCATGAAGATAATTCCTGTTTTCTGTATTAAAACACTTGTAAATCACATTAAAGTACTAATATTAAAGTCAAATTAGTACTAAAATAAGTAATATTATCATCAATGGGCATTCTTGCCATTCTACATCAGTACACACCCATTCCCAACTGAGACCTGCCAAAGACAGCAAAGAAAAATTACCAAAAGGATCCATAATAAGACTTAAATATTGTAGTACAATCATGTGTGCATATCTTTATCAACATGCTGATCACAGGTTCATACTGCATGCAAGCAAGTGCTTTCTAGATATAGATGGATATAGGAAGCTTTTGGAGTGCATACCACATTCAGGTTATGTCGACTGCATTGCAAAAGTATGCAAATATCATTAATTGCTCGGTCAACAGTTGCTTGTTCTGCATCAAAAAATGGAATGCCATGGATATAAAGGTATAAGAAGGCAATGTAAAAGTGAAATTTAGACTGTAAAGAGAACTACATGAAGATTCAACTAATTGCAACTAAATGCATATCAGTATTTCTGCAAAATCTAATTGATTGTTGACATGCAAGACATATGCATTCATTTGCACTGATTTTGCTATCTGATTCTTGAACATATATATGAGTTCTTATTTGAACACTATGGCTCAAGTGGCGATAAATGCTAAAGGCCGGAAAATCAATTAATCTGTATATACCTTTAAAAATAGAAGGGTGCATGTAGTATATGTCTCTTTTTGAACCATGACGATTTTCTTGCAGAAGTTGCTGAACAATCAGTAGCACCCTTAACAAAACATCTGGAAACAATGAAACATGCAACACCCGATCACCAACTTCACAACGGGTACATTCACATAAAGGGTTATATGCAAGAATTAGATGATCTTAGGACCAAACAACCAGCACCAGATCAGTTTCATCCAATATCCATCAAAAAAAGGCAAAGGAAAATGCAGTTCTATAAAAACTAACTCAAATCAAAGATGATTCTTCCTCAGAAATCATTTTCTTCTATATAATTTTCACACTTTTTGCAACCCCTTTGGCACACCCCATGTCAAAGAGGGTAGATTGACTATTTCTGAATGCATGCATGACTCACCTAACCTACGTGCATGGCTTTCCCTCTTCAGTGTAACGACTTCCTTCCCATTTGACAAACCAGAGCTGCAATAGCTGCATATAAGGAATGCAAATCGTACTCACTGATCACAAAATTCAATACAATTATTAAGACAACAAAATGAAAGAAAATTTCATATCAATGGCATTATACCAACTGAACCACACACAACAACTATCCATGATAACTGTTAAGTTTAGCCACTAGCATGAATAACAATATATCATAATTTCACTACTTGTTTAAAATTTAAACAAATAAAGCTTCTCTCCTTGACTCCTTTAACTTTTATTTATTTGGGAGAGGGACTTTTACCATACAAACGTGAACAATTAATCATCCATCCAGAAGCTAAATCACAGTAAACACAAATTTCGATAATTCTATTAAGAACAAAATGTTGAAAGTTAGTTAAAAATAATCTAACCAATTTCCTGAACCGTCTATGCAGTAATTCCTGAACCGATCAATGTAAATGATCGGCGAGCGATTGTTCGCGAGATCTTCAACAATCGATCGAGTAAGCTCTACAAGAGTACGACGAAATTACATCGAAGAAAAGTCTTCGTCATTGTAAATAGATAGAAAATATGCGGTGAACTTCAAACAGAAATTGAAACTTCTGTATTTTTTAAAAAATCGAAAGTACCTTTCAATCTTCCCAACACTTTGCAGTGCATAGAACCAGATTGCTTTCCCTCCATTTTCCCTGAGCGTGCTCAGAGTATGGCGTTTTATATGTTATAGCAGTGAGTTTTGCAGTTGTGCGTGTGCCATTGATGTTTTCCCTGAGTCGAGATTTGCTCATTCTGGTAATTTTTGAGCAAATTGTATCAAGATTTGATTGATGAAAAAATTTAGATTATTTTTTTAAAAAGAAAAATAGAAAATTTCAATCATTTAGATATAATAATAATTGAATCATCAAGTGAGCCCGAATAATTAATTCTCAAAACTCAACTTTATTCAAAAAAAAATAATTAAAATTCTAGCTTGAGTGGATTTTATTTATTTATTTACATTCAATTCATAAAGGTTTTAAATTAAAAATGTGACATACATTTATTTTTCTATTTTAAAATATTAAAATGCGATAAAAATTTATGACATTTATGTATCAAATATGATAAAAGTAAAATTTTAATGATTACATATGAAAATAAGGTTATAGTAATGAAACCAAATATGAAAATAATTTGGACATTTGCTGTCATATATGTTCATTAGCTAGGATAATAGATGTGAAGTATTTCGGGTGACAAATAACTTAGGAAATATTATTTTTTGAAATTTAGAAAATGATTTTTGTAAAATGTTTTTTTGAAAATGAGTTTTTTTTTTTTTTTGAAAAATGTTTTCTACGCCGTCATTACGCATCAAGGCAATCTAATCCGATCATCTGCCTCGCCCCTTTGAGGCAGTCATGGAGGTGGATGGCGCGCCTCCAAAAGTGGTGGAGGAGGCCTCCAGAAGTCACGGTCCAGTCTTCGTCGCGAGAATTCTTTTCGGCGTTTGAGTGCTTGCATGCACGATCTGAGGCATTAAATCTATTTTCTTCAGATACCTACAAAATATTGTATTATTTCTCCATAATATACTTTTCTCCGTAATACATATTTCTCCAAAATATAAAATTTTCCATAATATATATTTTTTCCAAAATACACAATTCTCTAAAATTCAAAATTTCTCAAAAATCATAATTTCACCAACTTTCACAATTAATCCACTAATTTCATAATATTCCACATATAATAAATTCAAACATAATAAATTTCTCACTTCAATTATTTTAAAATCCACGTGAATCCATTATTCACACATAATAGAATAAATTTTGGGTCTTAAAATTTATTCTATACACAAACTTGTAAGGATAATTATTACTTACAATTAATGAAATTTTGGTAAATATTAATCTTACAAAAATTAAGAAAGATGTTAAAACCAACATTATTTTTCTGTCAAACTCCGCCTTTTAACCTCTTCGGACTCCAACATTTGTGTTTTCCCTTGTTTCTGTTTTTTTCTCCACTCGGTGCGTTTTCTCTCTCTGTTTCAAAATTCCTACGAAAATGCTGAAATTCCATCTGGCTGAAGGTTATCTGTGGAGAAGACTTGCTGAATCTATGAAGTTCATAGATTCATCAAAGTTCACCTGTTCCTCAGCAGGTGTGTCTATGATTGCACGGGACAGTTCTGAACTGTGCAACGTGGATATGTTCTTAGGATCCCAGGGATTTAGGGATTACAGTTGTGATGCAGTGGTGATCCTGTGCCTTCACGTCAAAACAATGGCGAGAAGGTTTAAATGTCTTGGCAAAGGGGACTCCTTAGCCGTTGAGTGCACTGATGGCACATGCCTGGACTTATTTAGCGCTATAAACCCCAGTGAGTTCTACTAAGTTTTAGCTTTATCATTTGTTTTGATTTCTATTCAGTTTTAGCTTTATCATTTGTTTTGTTTTTTGTTTTTTTTTTAATTATTTTAAGTTGGGGATCAAATCTGGTTCAAGATGAAGTTTGTGTTGTTGTTGTTTTTTTTTTTTTAATTATATTTTTAGCTAAGAACCTCACTTACTTCCTGATTTGTTGTTGTTGTTGTTAATTATATATATATATATATATATATATATATATATATATATATATATATATATATATATATATATATATATATATATATCTATATATAGAGTTAATACTCAAAATGGTCCCTCAACTATGCCATAATTACCAATTTGGTCCTCAACTATCATTCTTACCCAATTAAGTCCTCAACTATGTAACTTTTACTCAATTAAGTCCTCAACTATACAATTCTTACCCAATTTAGTCCTCAACTATACAATTCTTACCCAATTTAGTCCTCAACTATACAATTCTTACCCAATTTAGTACTCTGTATTAATTTGACTGTTTGTTGACTGTCAAAAGTCGGGATAAAATTATAATTTTACAAGATTTCTCCTTCCTCTCCATTTAGCAGCGCCAAACCATGCAGCAATACACTCTGATCAGATTTTGATCGTCAAAAAATCGTTGGAAATCAAATTCATGGGCTATCCGATGCATAACCACTACTTCGATACTGACAGGTTTAGAACCCAACCGGAGCTTATTGCTACATGGTTTGGCGCTGCTAAATGAGGAGGAAGGAGAAAATTTGTAAAATTACAATTTTATTTTCACTTTTGACAGTCAACAAACAGTCAAATTGACAAAGGACTAAATTGAGTAAAAATTGTATAGTTGAGGACTTAATTGGGTAAGAATGATAATCGAGGACCAAATTGATAATTACGACATAGTCGAGGGACTATCCCTGTTCCACCAGTCAACTATCATGCAATTGTCAAAATGCCTACTGCTGAATTTTTCAAAATTTGCAAATACTTCTTAGTCATTGCAAATGAAGGTATTCACTTAACATTTAATTTGATTTCATGGTGATTAGTTTGTTTTATGATTATAAAATGCTGCATGATCTTAGCCCTCTTGGTAGTTACATTCTGACATTATCTTTCCCTCTATTTTCCTTTTGTATATAAGCTGTTGCGGGGCCCTGCACTTGTCCCCTTCGCCAAGCGTGGGGCAGCCTGAACACGCTCATCGGACGCTTACGCGCCGCCTTCGAGGAGAACGGCGGCTTGCCGGAGAGAAACCCCTTCGCCGACAGCGCCATCCGCCTCTACCTCCGTGAAGTCAGAGATGCTCAGTCTAAGGCCCGAGGAATCCCCTACAAAAAGAAGAAAAATAATACTAATAATAATAATGCCCTCCCGAAGCCTAATAATGACGAAACGCCCATCTTCCAGATTCAATCCTCTATTCCTCTTGATCTCTCCCTCAACCTTTAATTTCAGGGCGAAAATGGTAAAACTCTTCCTCTCATCTCCTCCCTTCAAAAAAAATAAATATAAATATTAAAAAATATATGTATAGACGGCGGTTCTTTCTTTGAACCTCCGTCTATACATATTTTAGTGGAACAAGTTCGGGCTGTAGTTGAAGAACCAGCGGCCGCCGGTCCCACTTCCCCTCTGCAATTACAATCATGTCCTCGATTTCCCCCGGCGCCTCGACCAGTTCGGGAAGACTAATGTTCAGTTCAGGGCCGGTTTTTAGATTTTTGTGGCCCTGTTCGGATAAATAAATAAGGCTCTACCAAAATTAAAATCTATAAAACTAATACCGTTAGGTGGGGTCATCCAAATGATCATACGACTCTGATACCGCTCTGATACCACTTTGTATCAGAGCTTAATCAATTTTATTTCTTTTGCCAAAGATTTCACAACCTAAGCTGCTAAAGTATCATGAGACCACCATTGATGAAAACACTGATGCACTCCCTGTTCCAGCAGTAAACTATCATGCAATTGTCAAAATGCCTACTGCTGAATTTTTCAAAATTTGCAAATACTTCTTAGTCATTGCAAATGAAGGTATTCACTTAACATTTAATTTGATTTCATGGTGATTAGTTTGTTTTATGAGTATAAAATGCCGCATGATCTTAGCCCTCTTGGTAGTTACATTCTGACATTATCTTTCCCTCTCTTTCCCTTTTGTATATAAGCAGTTGCGGGGCCCTGCACTTGTCCCCTTCGCCAAGAGTGGGGCAGCCTGAACACGCTCATTGGACGCTTACGCGCCGCCTTCGAGGAGAACGGCGGCTTGCCGGAGAGAAACCCCTTCGTCGACAGCGCCATCCGCCTCTACCTCCGTGAAGTCAGAGATCCCCAGTCTAAGGCCCGAGGTATCCCCTACAAAAAGAAGAAAAATAATACTAATAATAATAATGCCCTCCCGAAGCCTAGTAATGACGAAACGCCCAACTTCCAGATGCAATCCTCTATTCCTCTTGATCTATCCCTCCACCTTTAATTTCAGGGCGAAAATGGTAAAACTCTTCCTCTCATCTCCTCCATTCAAAAAAAAATAAATATAAATATTAAAAAATATATGTATAGACGGCGGTTCTTTCATTGAACCTCCGTCTATACATATTTTAGTGTAACAAGTTCGGGCTGTACTTCAAGAACCAGCGGCCGCCGGTCCCACTTCCCCTATGCAATTACAATCATGTCCTCGATTTCCTCCGGCGCCTCGACCAGTTCGGGAAGACTAATGTTCACTTCAGGGCCGGTTTTTAGATTTTTGTGGCCCTGTTTGGATAAATAAACAAGGCTCTACCAAAATTAAAATCTATAAAACTAATACCGTTAGGTGGGGTCATCCGAATGATCATACGACTCTGATACCGCTCTGATATCACTTTGTATCAGAGCTTAATCAATTTTATTTCTTTTGCCAAAGATTTCACAACCTAAGCTGCTAAAGTATCATGAGACCACCATTGATGAAAACACTGATGCACTCCCTGTTCCAGCAGTCAACTATCATGCAATTGTCAAAATGCCTACTGCTGAATTTTTCAAAATTTGCAAATACTTCTTAGTCATTGCAAATGAAGGTATTCACTTAACATTTAATTTGATTTCATGGTGATTCGTTTGTTTTATGAGTATAAAATGCTGCATGATCTTAACCCTCTTGGTAGTTACATTCTGACATTATCTTTCCCTCTATTTTCCTTTTGTATATAAGCTGTTGCGGGGCCCTGCACTTGTCCCCTTCGCCAAGCGTGGGGCAGCCTGAACACGCTCATTGGACGCTTACGCAATCAAGTAGTGTAACCAGTCACGCTCAATCAAGTACATGTTCAAGTATGTTAACAAGGGTCATGATCGGGTAACAACCGAATTTTACAAAACAAGCAATGATGACGAGAATGGGAAAGCAATAGATGATATTAATATGTACTATGACTGTAGGTACATATCCCCATGTGAAGCGATTTGGCGTCTGTTTGGTTTTGATATACAGCTTAGGGCGCCTTCAGTGGAAAGGTTAAGCTTTCACCTTCCTAATCAACAGAGTGTGATATTTGCAGATGATGATGCTGTTGAAAACATTGTTAATAGACCTATTATAGCACATAGCATGTTTTTGTAATGGTTTGAGGCAAATAAAACATACCCCAATGCAAGAGAACTTACTTATGTTGAGATGCCAACACGATTTGTTTGGAAGAAAGACCTTAGAAAATGGCAGCCACGGAAAAAAGGGTTCTCAATCGGACGTATATTCTATGTCCCGGCAGCTACTGGAGAAATTTTCTATTTGAGGTGTTTGCTGAATAAAATCCGTGGCCCTAAAATTTATGAAGATATTAGGACTGTAAATGGGGTCCAATATGACTCATTCCGAGATGTGTGTTATGCAAGGGGTTTAGTTGATGATGATAACAAATATGTTGATGCAATAGATGAAGCCAGTAATTGGGCATCAGCAGATCAAATGAGGAGATTGCTTGTGACATTGCTAATGAGCAGTTGCATGGGTAAACCGGAAATAGTTTGGCATGTTGTGTGACAACATTTATCAGACGATGCACAATTCAACGTCCGTAGACAACTGCAGAATAGAGGTAATCATACATTTTTCAATTTATTTTATTAATACTGATAACACAATATTAAGTCAAGTTTAACGTAGGTGTGCTATAACACCAAATTTTTATATATACTTATGCAGATTTTGTGTTGACCGATTCGCACAAGATGAACTTTGCCTTAGTAGAGATTGAGAAGCTATTATCTACTCATGGTAAGAGTTTGAAGGACTATCCTGAAATGCCAACGACAAATTTTGGGGCCTTAAACGTTATTGCAAATAGGTTTATTCAAGAAGAATTAGCATACGATTGTGGCGAACAGGAGAAAGAGAATCAGGAATTGGTAAGGCAATTAACAGAAGAACAAAATGTCATATACAATGAAGTGTTAACTGATATTGATCGCCAAGATGGGGGGGTTATTCTTCGTTTATGGTTATGGAGGGACCGGTAAGACTTTCTTGTGGCGAGCACTTTCTTCCGCATTAAGGTCTAAGAGTGAAATAGTGTTAAATATTGCCTCTAGCGGCATAGCTTCGCTTTTATTACCTGGTGGGAGGACTGCACATTCTCGGTTTGCTATACCAATAGCTGTTAATGAAGATTCCACATGCAACATACGTCACGGCAGTCAACTGGCAGAGCTACTTGTGCAAACCAAGTTGATAATATGGGATGAAGCCCCAATGATGCACAAATTCTGTTTTGAAGCCCTAGACCGAACTATGCGGGATCTGTTGCGCTTCATAAATCCAATGAGTTATGATATGACATTTGGTGGTAAAACAATTGTTTTTGGTGGCGATTTCAGGCAAATTTTACCAGTCATTCCAAAGGGTGCCAGACAGGATATAGTTCGAGCGAGCATTAGCTCATCATATCTCTGGAAATCCTGTAAAGTTTTAAGGCTTACTAAGAATCTACGATTGAGAAGTGTTCAATCAGAAAACGAGGGTAAGGAGATTGAGGAATTTGCAAAATGGATAGCTAATATAGGTGACAGAATAATTGGTAGTCAACGTGATGGTGAGTCCGAGATTACTGTTCCAGAACATTTGTTGTTGAAGTGCGAGGATGACCCTATTGCTACAATTGTTGATAGCACATTCCCTAATTTTAGACTGGGAATTGGCGATTTGTCATATCTTAATGATAGTGCAATTTTAGCTCCAACATTGGATGTGGTAGATGCCGTTAACCAATACATGAATGATCATAATCCGGCTGAGGGTAAGACATACTTGAGTTGTGATTCTGTGTGTAAGTCAGATTCAAATGTTGACATGTTAGCGGATTTGCAAACTCCGGAATTCTTGAATGCCTTGAGATGTTCTGGAGTACCAAATCATGCTTTGACTTTGAAAGTTGGATCACCTGTTATGCTATTGCGAAATATTGATCACACACTAGGATTATGCAACGGTACAAGGTTGATTGTTACAAGGTTAGTTGACCACGTGCTGGAAGGCCATATCATGTGCGGTACAAATGCAGGAACCAGAGTATTGATTTCTAGAATGTCACTTACACCGTCAGATCCAAGATTGCCTTTCAAATTTCAACGAAAGCAATTCCCTTTGATGCTATCCTATGCCATGACAATCAACAAAAGTCAAGGACAAACGCTTGCTAAAGTGGGATTGTTGTTGAAAAAACCTGTCTTTAACCATGGACAACGTAGCTGTTTCAAGAGTTAGTAACCCCAGGGGTTTGAAAATTTTGATTTGCGGGGAAAATGTACCATTGCTTAGTACGACTAAAAATGTTGTGTACAACAAAGTCTTCAATAATGTATAATAACATTCCATAATTTATTATTTAAAATTTAGTATTTTTTTAAAATACTATGTTTCTTATTTTTATTATATTATACGTAATATCCTATGTACTATATAGGTAGTCATGCATCACATTGTTTCAACAATGAAGTCTTCAACAATGTCTAATAAAATTACTAAATTCATCCATGTGCAATAAAATTACAAATTTTTCATTTTAAATTTTCTCTGGTTCAAATACCCTATTTTATATACTGTATATATATCATATCGCGCTGGTGCACCTACTAGTTATTATTATTACAAAAACTTTGCAGGCTTTACTCTTAAGCCGATATTTGGACATGCACTGTATTTTAAACCGGTTCAACCAGACGGGATCCACTTCCACCTCTGGCTCTGCTCTCCATCGGCGCCGCCTATGAGAACCACCGCAGGTGCGATTGTCACAGCACTCTCGATAGCTGTAGTTGTTTCTTACTTCCTCTGCAAGCACACTGAAAAGAAGTCTTCTAGACGCAGACAAACCAATTCACTGAAAAAGTCCAGAAATGGGCTCGTTGCCGCCATTGGCAACACCCCTTTGATTAGAATCAATAGCCTTTCCGAAGCCACTGGCTGTGAGGTACCTTCTCTCTCTCTCTCTAAACACGCATACACTTGTGGTTTATTTCTAATGGCTTTGGTAATTTTCGTTTATTTATGTGTTTACAAAAAAAAAATATGTTTCGATTGATAAACAGATTCTCGGGAAAGCAGAGTTCTTGAATCCAGGCGGGAGTGTTAAAGACAGGGTAGCTGTGAAAATTATTGAGGAGGTAAATTCACCCCATTTATCTGCTTAGATAGTTTCACTTCTGTTTGATTATAAAAAATAAAAATAAAAAAAATTCACATTTTGTTAACCTAGCACGGTAGGGAAGTCCCCTTTTAGGGCTGTGGCTTGTGGCAATATTCCCTGCACAAAAATTATGATTCATGGTTAAATGGTTTCATATTCTTTTTTGATGAAATGGTTATTATTTGGGTCTTCTTATTCTTAGAAAGTCCTCACTTGACTGACCAGTGCATTTGATCATAAATTTATACTTCTAGCTCTTCATTATGCTCTAGTTTACTAGTTTATAGGCAATGCTGGTTGGTAGTCGAATTTCTTGTTGGGTTTTTATGTAATTTGAAGTACATAGTACATACATCATCATTTAGTACTCTCACCTTGAAGTGTCAATGGAGTTCTCGTCATTAGCATCGTTATCTTCTTTGTATTCTTCTTTTCCTGATATTTTGCTTCATGGATTATTGTCACAAGTCCGCTCAATAAATGCTTTCACTGCTCTGCATTTTGCTATTTTCTCGTTGTCTGAACATATCCCATTCTGGCAGGCATATTGATTATCGGTTTGAATAAGCTTTCAGATGCTGCTGGGATCTTTCTTTGGTTTTGTTATCTTAAAAATTAACTACCTGTGCTGTCTGTTTCTATACACTTTGCTGAAGTTTGGTCATCATAAAGATAGATGCTTCTATGTGGTGGTTTACATAATTACATACAGTTCTTGTTTGTATAGGCTTTGGAATCAGGAGCACTAGCTGAAGGCGGCATAGTTACAGAGGGCAGTGCTGGAAGCACAGCCATAAGTCTTGCAACAGTAGCTCCCGCATTTGGGTGTACATGCCATGTGGTTATCCCCGATGATGCTGCTATTGAGAAGGTATATAAACCTTTCCTCTCTCTGGTTTTCACACGTGTACTTGACTACTTGTTTTATGTTCTCTTTGCTAGTTCAGACCGAGTGCACATCTCAAGCATTTTTAGGATGTGTCTAGGGATAGTCAAATTTTCCGAATGGTTTGCTAAGTTTTATAGTTGCTTCTTAAAAGAAAGATGGAAATAGGAGTTAGTGGTTCAAACTTTGAAGATTAGGAACTGACAAAAGGACTGTACCAAAATGCAAGAATCATATGTTAGTTCTCACTCTTAAAAACTATGAAATGGTTGAACTCTTACTTGACAGACTCCCAAGCTTGTCTATTCTGTGGTTATGTAACTAGACTTGCGATGCATTATTTTATTGTTGTGATTCATTGTAAAGATTTCGTTTCCTTTTGTTTGTTCTCTTAAATCTTGTGATCCTGAACAAAACCGCTGTTTTATAGTCTCAAATCCTGGAAGCACTTGGGGCTACGGTTGAAAGGGTCCGGCCAGTTTCAATAACTCACAAAGACCATTTTGTTAATATTGCAAGAAGAAGGGCACTGGAGGCAAACGAAATAGCTTTAATTAGAAAAAGCAAAGCAGATCAAAATGGTGCCAAGGGGGTTAAACAAATCAATGGTCATACAATCAGTGAGGAAAAACAAAGTTCAACATTCTCACTTGACTGCAAGGGTGGATTTTTTGCAGATCAATTTGAAAACCTCGCAAATTTTAGGGCCCACTATGAGGGTACTGGGCCAGAGATATGGGAGCAAACAGGTGGGGAACTGGATGCTTTTGTTGCAGCAGCAGGCACCGGTGGCACTGTTGCTGGCGTTTCGTGTTTTTTGAAGGTTGGTTCTTAGTTTCCAACAGTAGCTAGGGCCGCTAAAATATAAAGTGCTGAGAGATTTACTTCTGTCCCGTGTTCAGGAAAAAAACTCAAACATCAAGTGCTTTCTTGTTGACCCCCCTGGTTCGGGTTTATTTAACAAGGTAATAAGAGGAGTCATGTACACGAGAGAGGAAGCTGAAGGACGGAGGTTGAAGAACCCTTTCGACACTATTACTGAAGGGATTGGAATCAATCGACTGACAGAAAATTTTAAGCTGGCAAATCTTGATGGGGCTTTCCGAGGCACAGACATGGAAGCTGTTGAAATGTCTAGGTTAGTCTATATGCCTAGTTCTCTTTCTTTTGAGCTGTTTGTCTCCCCAACACTCATAAAAAATCTGCTTCACATGTTATTTATGAGTGCTACTGACTCTGTTACAATGCAGTATCTGTTCATAACTACTTTCTCAACCTTTTTTGAGTGCTACTGACTCTGTTACAATGTTATTGAATGTATTATCATTGAAATTTTCCAATAATTTTGGTACCCCTTAAGTAGCCAACAACCCTAATGGCTTGAGAAACTTTTGAAAAAACAAAGTATGTGCTGTCAAAGTTAGAACAATATTGTGTGCACATGTGTTATTACCTTAACGTTGCTTGATGCTCATCAGGTATCTGTTGAAGAATGATGGGCTGTTTGTTGGAAGTTCATCAGCCATGAATTGTGTTGGAGCTGTTAGAGTGGCACGAGCATTAGGGCCTGGCCACACTATCGTGACGATCTTGTGTGATAGTGGCATGAGGCATCTAAGTAAGTTTTTCAATTCTGAGTACTTGTCTCAACATGGCTTGAGTCCTTCAGCAACTGGATTGGAGTTTCTTGGCTTTAGTTGAAGTTCGCTTATTACACATTCTTTGTTTTTGTTTTTATTTCTATTTTTTGCACCTAATATAATCACTAAAAACCGGTCTGTGACACAAATACTAATGCAGTAGATCACACAAGAAACATGTTTAGTGCTTGTACATGATATGTTGTTCTTACCAGGTTTTCTTTTTTCTTTATGTCAATTACATTTGATGATTCGAGGAACATTTGACCGAACAATATCATGAAATATGATGCAGCCAAGTGGTGAGATCACACTACTTGCCGTGATTTTGTAAAGATTACAGATAGTATTAAGTTATGCATAATTAATATCTTCCTTATCAAGCCTCCCTTCCTTCCCTCTGCTTTTATCACCCTTCAGCAACACTACTATTCATAGTTCATACAAAGGCCTAAATCTAGTCATGAAATTGATTTTCTATTGTCCTACAAATTACTCAAGTTTTTTGTTGAAAACCAATGTGTTTTTACTTAGGGACGGGAGTATACTCCCCGTCCCCGTCCCGGTGGAAAATTGAAAATAGTCCCCATCTCTATCCCGCGGGAAATTAGGCGGGAATTCTCCGTCTCTGGTAAACTTTTAGTCAAAATCTTAAATTAATGTAATTTTTAATTTTAATCACTAAAAGCAGGCTCCTATAAATTTGCCACATTGCTAAGCCTGTGGAAAGAAAACACTTCAAACATCATGGTTTATATCAAAATATAAATACATTTAATTAATTCTCATAATTTAATTAGATGTGTTAATATCCATGTGTTCTACGTGAAGCCTACCGGCTCATACTAAAAGGTCAATAGATAACTCCCAAAGAAAGTCAAACTTAGAATCTTGTTAAATTTGAAATCTTGTGGTAACCAAACCAACTTAGTTGGAGACTTAGAGTTGCTCAAGGCTTCCAACTCCCAAAAAAAAAAAAAAAAAGAGTAATTGTCAATTTCAAAAATTATTAAGTGTTAGAGCATCCACATTAGTTGGGGAGATTTGGGGGATAATGTAAGAGTGATTAGGAGAGAGAATGTGGGAAGGGGAGAAATAAAAAATAAAAAAAATAACAAAACTAATTTAAAAAAAAAAATAAAAAAGATAAAAAAGAAAAGGTCAGGCGCCCGTGTGGGATGGCTGCTGTGCGCAAAACGCGCACAGCAGCCTAAGATGTCTGATATAGTGAATGCATTGGGAAGAGAAATATTTTTGTATTTGCAGGACAAATAATTCTACTATTAACCCCACCCCACATCAATTAATAACCCCATACAAGTTATTTCTTCTTACATTATCCCCATATTATCCACTAGTGTGGATGCTCTTATGGAGTATTATAGGCTTCCCAACTCCCAAAAAAAAAAAAAAAAAAGAGTAATTGTCAATTTAAAAAATTATTAAGTGTTATGGAGTATTATATTGCAAAGCCGTGCATTTGATAAGCATGGATCTCTTTCTTTGAGTGATAAAAAAAAATTGTAGCCACTACTTGATAGTTGCATTAAACTCATTCATGTGTAATAATTCATAAATCACACATGAAAAGTAAATTGTACTATGAAGACTTTGTGTAACATGATAGGCTCAACTGATAAGAATAGACCTTTTACTACGATAATTGCTTCTTTTTTTTTTTTTTAAATGATATACAGAGTATCTATCAAACCGGGGTATTATTATTTTGTAAAAGTTAAAAGTGATGATAGATGTGTTGATCCTAACTCCTGAGGTCAGTGCTAAAATTAGGCCATGTAAGTGTAACACATACATGCCAACTACATTTATTTCACTTGCCAAAACTCTTTAAAACTTGAGAGGCACAAATTCTGATTCTGAATTTTACAAAAGAAGAAAATAGAGCAAAACATGTTTGTACCAAGCAACATGTAATAGTCGAAACCATGTGTGTATAAACTTAACCAACGACACGAATTTGTAAACACATTATTTAATGACAATCCCACATGTTGAAGAGTATTTACAGCGAAAAAGGCCATCTTTTTTAGCTTCTACTACAGAGAAGCTATGCAAGGCACTATGCACCTTACAATTCTTAATTTTTCCATTAGAACTCAAGTTGCAGATTAAGACAATACTTCTATCAATAAGATATACTAATTACTAAATACCTATAAGCACTTTCTTCTATATTCATAAAACATGTTTGCTTCATCAATCCTTCAACAATTCATAATCTGAGAAGTGTTTTAACTTGGATTTCACTACGTTTTGGGAAGACTCCAAGATATAGGTAAACTTTCGAATCTTCTGATGATTGACCGTAAATAAGAGTACATATATTTTGACCTATAATTCCTAATGATTCTAATTCATTTTCAATGTTTTTCAACTCGTGTTGCATTGTTCCATTAGGGATCTAGACAAAGGCTATGCAGTTGCAATAATTGTAGGTGGTAATCCAAATGGCTCTTAAATTTTTTAAATCTAGGTGCTATATACTTTTCAAGATGAAAGATATTACAAAATAGTTACCAACTATTTGTTTCTTCTAAAATAAAAGTTATAGGTTTTATTATGCTTATATGAACTAACACTAATATACCTAGTCACCTCTCTGTCTCGAGTTGTCAATAATATGAAGTTTCCATTTCTTTCATAGGGAAACATTTTAATGATTTCATCCAAAGTTCTAGTACTACATACAACGTCCACAACAATTAGATAAGTTTCCCCCTTCATCAGCTTTCTTAACTGAAATGCTAATTCATCCCCAGTTGCCTCTTTAATTTCTTCAGGGGTTATGGTCTTAATGCATCGAAGAAGGGAAGTGATACATGGCTAGGTTATCTTGCACGATTTAGTTCTGTAAATTTTAGGTTTGACTTTGTTAAGTTGGAAAATAATGCTATAAATAAACGAGGGAGAAAGAGAGATTGGTATAGTGGTTGAGTTTTGCACTATTTCTTTTTAGTACAAAAAAGCACTCGAGTCTTGATCACAAAGCCGACTTCAAGTTTATAGGTTTTTTCACAGGTATACATTATTCTTTAATGAGGTGTTTGGTTGGAATGAAGGAATTATGAAGGAAATGAATTGTAATTCGGTGGGAATAAAGTAGGAATTCAAATTACGTTGTTTGGTAGAAAGAAATAGAATTATTAGAATTGAGAAGGAAATATAATTGGTATAAAGACTCTTTCCCCCCCTAAGAACCGCACGTGCGAGTTCCCCCGCATACGGCTCAAGTAAAATACCCTTATGCAATAACAATAGTAATAAAAATCAAGGGTAATAATGTCATTTGATCTAGTTTTCCTTTCTCAAATGGATTAATATTTGATACACCGTCCGTGTATAGATGCTATACACCGGCGGTGAATGAGAATATGCCACATCATTAAATAAAAAAGTCAACATTAGTTGAGTCCTTTTTTGCAATATTTAAGACTTGTATTTTATTTGGAAACGCTTTATTTCTAACTAATAAAATATATCTACTTTCCTAAACATATTTATTATTTAATTATTATCTATCTATTTTCATTGCATTTTTAATTATTAGATACATTATTAATTAAATTGACAAATGATGATTATTTTATATTAAATATATATTAATCACACATACTGTGAATAAACTAATGAAGTGTATATTGTTCCCAAACATTAATCACCCTACTACATTGACGCCTTGTAATTATTTTTTTAATTTTATTTAATTACTAAACCATTTGAAAATAAAACACTTGTACAACTATTTTAATTTTTATTCTTCAATGAAAATTATGAACGTATTTCTTAATCTATGGACATTACTGACGTTTTTCTTAATCTAGATAAAAAATATCAATTTTAATCTATTAACACTATGAACGTATTTTTTGATCTAGATTAAAATTGATATTTTTGATACGTAGTATTATTTTAAATGTTATACTAAATAAATAAAACAACACCACCAAACCAGCTTTTATTTTGGATACACTTTGATGTTCTGCCTCGGTTTGGGGATACTCTGTGGTATCAAAAAAGAAAAAAAAAAAGAAAAAAAGCACCATTTGTCAATTTAATTAATAATGTATTTAATAATTAAAAATGCAATAGAAATTAGATAGATAATAATTAAGTAATAAATATGTTTAGAAGAATACATATATTTTATTAGTTAGAAATAAAGACTTTCCTAATAAAATATAAGTCTTAAATATTGCAAAAAAAAGACTTAATCAATATTGATTTTTTTATTAAATGATGTGGCATCTTCTCATTAACCGCGGGTGTATAGCATCTATACACCAACGGTGCATCGAATATTATTCCTTTTTAAATTCATTAAATTGCAATTCCCTCCAACTAAACAGTGTAATTTTGAGCTTCATTGAATTACAATTCAACTATAACAAAATTACATCTAACCAAACAGCCTGTAACCGTTAATCACTGATTGCCAAATAAAGAATATATGAAAGAGCAATTACTCCATTGGTGATGTCCTAATAGGCTAATACTAACAATAGTAATTTTAATAAATAAATAAATAACTATATAAAAATAAAATATAATTGGGTATGCCCGATTACCAAATAGGCAAATAGTACCAATTTACCATCCCTATTAATAACTTGAATTAAATGCACTTCAAAAAGTACGGAGTAACTATTTGTCCAAAATAATTTTTTTTTTAAAGGAAAGAGAAATGAAGGTAAAAGTAGCAGAGATTCTATAGTCAACGGTAACCCGACCAGAAGAAAGCAAAGACAAGGACGAAATTAGGAAGTTGTTTCTCCAGTTGCCGGTTAGTCATCCGTGTTCACAGGGAATATGCAATCGCAACCGTCCCCTTCGAGATGCAAACTACCAGAGATCCCACAACCGTTGGATCCATTTATAGCTTACATTTCAGGTTCCCCCAATCCGATGTTTAAAATCCGGATTTCAAGTCCGCATATAAAAACACCCAAATCACCCGACCCTCCAAAACTTCTCGTGTTCGAAGTGTGGAATCGTTGAAAAGAGAGAAAAAAAGGCAAATACAAACCACTGATACGAGTGTGAGTGAGTGTTAGCCCTCAAAGCCGTGGAATTCAGCTCTCTAAATCTCGGTAACTTGTTCCTTTCTTTTGATTGAATTTCAATTCAAATTCTGAGCTCTTCTTGAATTTTGCGCTGTAATTTTCCGTCTCTTGTTTGTAGCATGGGTAAACATTGGGCCTTTGCAGCTTAGGGTTTGCTAATTGCCTTAAAGTTTGG